AGTCCAGGAACAGCCCATTTCCTCCGGAGTTGGCTAGGTACTCCAGGGCACTCCCAGGAGGGCATGGAGCATTGCTTTGTCCACAAACATATCCAGTAAATACAATTTAAATGCTTCAAAGTGTATAGGGGTGAGAAGCTTCTGGGAGCTCCTGGAGCATTTGAAAATAAAAAGGAAAAAAAGAGGGAAGATGAATACCTCCTACCACAAGACTAACACAACAAGACACTGCTTAACATTTAGATCAAACACTATACTATATATCAAGGACACTGAGACTCACAATCAAAATTTATGGCCTGATATATGATTAATCTGGCAACTTAATCACTTTTGGGCTGGCAGAATATGGAGGAGGGGGAAATGGGGGAGAATGAGGGGGGGAATGAAGGGGGAATGAGGGGGGGATATAGAGGGAAATGAGGAAAATTTGAAAAATAGGGACTTCTAAAAAGTTGAAAAAAATAATTAGGGAAAATTTCAAAAAAAATTCAGGAACTGTAGTGCTGTCAGAGACCAGGTTGAGACAAAGGAGTGCCCCTGTGGCAGAGGGCTTTGGCCTCAGCGACTTATGCCAGGAGTGCTGTGCCAAGTAACATGTCCGTGCCCTAACTTACTAAACTGGCAACCAGAACTGAGGGGGGTAAACTCTAATCGATTTTATTACTGAGGTGTAACCTATGTACAGTTGAGTATATATAGTTACAACAAGGGCAGGCCCGCAAATGGTGGAGCCAAGTGGAGCAGAGCTAACGGGGTTAGACATTAGCTGATTGAATATTACCAACGAGTCGGGTTACAGGTTTAATGGAATGGTAGGCATTAACCCAGAAATGGAAAGGAGGGATAGGCCCAAAGGTGGGCTTGCAGGGCAAGTGAGTGTATTGCCCAGCAGAGGTGGGAGTGTGCTAGCAGACGTTGGAGCTGTCCGGAAGCCTTCAGGGCTCTGTACTTAGGGAGGTGTAGGTAATAAATTGAAAGGAGGGGGTGGTGACCATTGAGGGGTACCAAGGTGATTGCAGAATATGGGAGCTCCAAGGTTAGTGAAGAAGGAGCGGAGGTAGACTGGAGGGATCAGAGGGATCAGAGGGATCAGAGGGAGTGGAAGTCGATGGTCGGGGATGGATATGACAAGTGCCTTTGAAGTGCTTTCAGGATATATAATTATTTGCAAAATTGAGGAAGAAATGATGGAGAAAAATGGAAAATACTTTCGGAGACCCAAGAAATAATGAGAACTGAATTGATGGGAAAGTCTGAAAATTGAATAGGAAAGTGAGGGGAAGCCTTGTAGCATTGTTATTTTCTGCTGTCCTAATTTTTCCTGATTGTTCTTGGTCTCACTCCCAGCTGCTACTGGATACTCCTGGATACTCCAGGATGCTCCAGGATGCTCCTGGGAGGGTCCAGGAGCAGCTAATGGAAAATACTTTTGGAGACCCAAGAAATAATGAGGAACTGAATTGATGGGAAAGTCTGAAAATTGAATAGGAAAGTGAGGGGAAGCCTTGTGGCATTGTTATTTTCTGCTGTTCTGATTTTTCCTGATTCTTCTTGGTCTCATTCCCAGCTGCTTGTCAGAAACTGTATTTGAGGTATTTGCAGGAAGCGGAGCGGAGTATGGCGGTGTGAGTGGACACTTAGCTAATGAGCTACTCTGTTGCAAAGCATTGTGGGGGTTGGGACTTCGGCTTCAACAACTTGGCTGGAGCATTGTGCCACACGTTCTAGGCTGTCCCATATTTCAAGTTAGCGGGAGGTACCTTGCGGCAACGTTGACTTAAGCGGAGATGGAACTGAGAGGCGAACTTAAGATGAGAGTACTTGGGGGGGAATTCTAGTCAATATTTGAACTGAAGTACATCGACAGTAAACTACAAGTATCAATATGAAAGGAGAACAGAGAAGGGGCCGGTCGGTCCGGCGTGGGATGGGAGCAGGATGGCAAGTACTAAAAGAGCGATGAGGACCAGGGAAATGGAACAGAAGAAATGAATGGGACAGAGGATGGCGAAGTTGGGAGGCAGAATGGATAGCCCAACAATCTAGGTGCCAATATGGTGGCGGATCAGAATGTCAATATACGAATAAATCAAATGTCAATAAAGGAATAACCAAGTGTCAATAAAGGAATAAACCAAATGTCAATAAGGAGTGGATCAGCGGCAACAACATCAACTGCTAGTAAGTTAAGTGAATGAATAAGAATAAAATGGTATTGGCCAAATGGCTGAGGAGCTCAAGTGGTGGTGGGAGAAAGAAGGAGGTGCCGCTACGGGGCCATAGATGGGAACCACTATCGGTGCCGCTAAGTGATGGAAGTGGTAGAAGGGTGGGGACTTTGCAGGGCCATGACACTGCTCCTCAATACTCCTGGAAGCTCCAGGGTCCAGGAGCAGCTGGGAGTGAGACCAAGAATAATCAGGAAAAATCAGAACAGCAGAAAATAACAATGCTACAAGGCTTCCCCTCACTTTCCTATTCAATTTTCAGACTTTCCCATCAATTCAGTTCTCATTATTTCTCGGGTCTCCAAAAGTATTTTCCATTTTTCTCCATCATTTCTTCCTCAATTTCGCAAATAATTATATGTCCTGAAAGCACTTTAAAGGCACTATAGTTCCTGAATTTTTTTTTTTTTTGATTTCTCCCTAAATTTTTTTTTTTCAACTTTTTAGAGACCAAATTTTCCTCCCACTGCTCCTGGCACATTGCATACTCCTCACCACTCCCAGTGGCTCCTGAACCCCCTCCCAGGAGAACTGTTACAAAAATGGGGCCGGAGGCGCCCATTTTCATCCGTCCTTAGCGCAGGAAGAGGGAAAGGTTGGGAAATGGGGTTCATATGGTTATACAGATGTTAGCACAGCGGGTTTTTGGTTGTTTATTGATTCGATAAACTCTATTACTATACAAATCATGTGATACAGAACCCATAAGAGTCTAAAATGGGAATTCCCATTTCCATAACAAGAACACTATTGGCTCCAGGAGTGCCCAATCTGCTGTTTTGTCTCCCACATGCTCCAGCCACTCTTGATGCTCCGGAGCATAACGGACTTTTGCTGATGTCCAGCTGCAGACGAGTTGGCTATTAGACACTCGGACGGGATTGAATGAGCCCGCATGATATCATAGTCATCCATTAAGCCCCTTCTGTATGCGTGCTTATAGAGCATCTGTGTCCTGCATGCGGATTAATGGCTGAATCCATCTAGTTTGCCCCTGACCCGGTCCTCCAATTACAAAACAGGTGAGATGACAAAGAATATATACATCTTATCCAAGATGGGGAATAAAAGAAGACCAAGACGGCGTTTGATATAGAGAAGGAGAAGGAGAGCGGAGGGATGCGAACGTCAGTGCGAAGAGGATAATCCGGGCGACAACATAAATTGTCACAATGGCCAAATTAAAGTTTATCTGGAAATCGCCAGAACTTGTGTACTCCAATATTACTAATGCACCGAGGCCAAGAGCAGGAGCTACTGTAATATATACTGCACAAATGCGCCATATAAGTGATTCAGCGTGTGTTGGCAAAGGGAAGGACCATGCAGAACAGTGAATTCCGCCGAAGATGGCGCCGGTGATTACAAACACCCAAAAGGGTTGCAATTCAACAAATGCGTCACAAGCTCGGCCAATGGCTCTGGCCGCAGGTGAAGGCGAATCTACCTGCTTCTCTACTTCAAGAGGCACTCGAGCAACATTGGCCTCGGAAGTCGGAACGTGAGGTGTATCCTCTTTCGTCACTTGAATTGGCGAACGGACATCAAGGGGCTTGTGCCACCACAACGCACAGATGATAATGCTCAGTGCAGAGTATCCAAGCGTCATTGTCTCAAGCTGCGATCTGTGCAGATGTCCGACCCATCGCCCCACATACTGAACGATGAACCACAGCAATTGAAGAGATACAATAGACTTGGATAAAAAATCGCCTTTGCTTTTGCGGAGAATCTCCTGCTTCGTCATCACCACAACCTGACGATTTCCCGTCTTCTGAATGATACCAGGGTATTGGCCAAGGACGGAGGGATCTTCATAACGAATGTAAGGTGCTGTTGGGTCGATGAAGCCTCCCATTCTGACAAAGTATGAATGCACAAATGTCCACCCTAGCATGTGAAAATCAATAGGTCAAGCGTTCATCTCAATTGATTCACTCCATACCTTCGACATTTTTACATTTCCTTGATATTTTCCAGGCTTCTGAGAATCCAACCCATGCCTTAGCAACAACCAATTCTGGGAAAATCAGGGAACTCCTCATTAAGCCGAAACGATCATCCCTATTCAAAATCTCATCCATCAGATGCATACGACCCTTATCTCCTTCCACCACATTCGGGTGTACAGCCGTCCATACGCAGATGAATATTGTTAGAAGACAGCCGTAAACGAGATTCCACATGGTACGGCAATTCCGAAGGTCATTGCATGCTTCAGATACGTTTATCGACAAACTGATGGCGTTGAGAGGTGGATAGGAGAGGATCGGCGCGGCGTAGGCATTGTTGGCGAGAATAAACGTGATGAGAGCGGTTGTCATTGGGACGGGGGGTACAACATGGAAACGACATTCGCCTGGAAGCTTTATACACCACTGGGTGCATAGCCTTCTGTCAACCACGCAGCTTCTGCGAGGGTCCATTTAAAGCCTAAAATCAAATTCAGCTCATTCGCACAACACCGAAGCTGACTTTGGAAGGGATTTACATAAATGGGTGATGGCGTCGATCTCACAAAGCCCTTGTTGATTAGAGTTCAACTGTCTTGCCGAGAAATCAAGAGGTGTGCAACAGGGAATTTCACGGGATCAACAAGTTCAACGCTAGAACATTCAAGAGCTCCAAAGGAGAACAAGTTTGCAAATTATTGACATCTTGGGAAATGTCTAATCGGTACTGAGTCCGCTTAGATAGGGCCTAGATGATCTATTGCACAGCCCTCAAGCAGGGCGACAAGAAGTAAACCACACCAACAAAGAAGTGGGGGGTACACGTTGCTTGAAAAATTGCCGGGCTTTTCTAGGAAGGTATGAAATTAGGCCCCGCGCGCGCGCGCGCGCACACACACACCCATTACCGGAAATTAAACATCGGATCCGCATTCGCCTTAGAACTGAATAGCCTGAGACCTAAACGAGAGAGTATAAAGTCATGCCGCGCTGCTGCACGCGCTCTCACAGATTAAGAGGGCCATATCCCAGTTCACTTAGAGCAGGTAACATGTGGCAGTGTTAATTCTGTCCTTATCAGTCTCCCAGCCACAAGCCGCTGGAGAGGACTTAGCTGCCAGCAGAAAGCGCAGATCACTTGATTTGCAGTGCTGCCTCCTGACGAGATAGGCACGAAGGGTGGCATCGGAGCTGGAATCAACGAAACCTTTTAGGGTACCTCGATCTTGGCTGCAAAACTGCCTCAGAAGTATAGGTGAAGTCCATTCCAATAGAGGCAGGTAACCTGCATAGCAAAGTTATCGGCTTCGCGTAGATGGCTGTGAGGCCGCAATGGGTGGTTAAGTCATCGCAGTGACCACCACTTGTGACTTGCACTGCCATGTTCGGGGTTCTCCGGGGGGTCACTGTCAGCAGGCAGCGGCTCATATTATACGAGTAACTCGGGCTAGCCTTTGGATGGATGACTCGTAAGGATGGCCAGGATACCCCTGGACAGAAACACCTTCAATCCGTCTGTAAGGTAAGTTGACAATCTCAGGGACAAATCTCCCAGATTGTCGGAGGAAAATTCCGTCTCAAGCTCTATGCAAAAAATCTAATTCGAGTATGGCAACCGTATTAGGCTGTTCACGATGGTTCACGACAAAGGTCGGACAGTTAATTCTTCACCGAGTTTACTACTAACCGCAAAAGCCAATGACACGGTGGAGCAAGCTGGCCGTTTCATGTTGGGGTATCTTGTTCCTTCAGTGATCATGTAACGAGTGGATACGCAATTTGAAGGAAGTATTTGTTTGGGATTTTTTTCCCCGCCATACAAATCAAGATCAGAGGTGCAATGATCTACCGTTTGGACGCGCGCTCGTGGATAACAATGTTTCTGTTTACTGGTAACCTTGGGCTGGGTATGTGTACGCATGGTTACTCGGCCCGTGTTTTCCGGTGAAGACGACATAGCAGACGTGACAAGGAAAATTAGGCAGAGAGAGTATCTAGAGCTGCCTAAGTCAAACGGAGTCTTGACTTAAGAGGAATTAGCCTTCACCCAGCGGTGGGGTGGAAATTGCCAGGCACCAAGGCCCCATCTCAAACTATGTTGGTCATTCCGTATATTTTGAGTTAGGAAATAGATTATAACCAGTCGTGCACCTCGTCACTTCGCCTTGGCGCATGCTCGGCAGCGGGAAGGGCAGGCCCCGGTCGTAGAGATTCGCAAGGGACGCATTTCCCGGATCCGCATTGCAGTGCATTCATGCCATCAGGTCGTACTATCGTAGTGTTCCTGGTATTCTCAAGTATATTTACGACATACGTGCAGCCTGAGGATGCGCTTTGATCGGGCTTCTCGATGGCTTCCATGATGATCTATCGTTACGTGCTGCAGAAATTGGCTAGTCTCGGAACTGTATCCTGATCCACCCCCGGCACCTGCATCCTGTCGGCATGATTTGCTCTGCTTTTCCTGTCCGTTTTGAATCAAGCGATAGGACTGTGGACGACTTCAGGGGTACATTGAATAGAGGTTTCCCTTTTTTACGCCGTCCACACATGGCTCTCATGCAACAATGGAGAGGTGAATCTCTGATTTTTACGTGGTTACGGATGATGAGCTACATGGCGAATAGGGGGGTTGAAAGGTATAAAAGCAACTCTCCTGGCTCTGTAGCTGGACAAGATGCAAACACGCATTTCATGATGGACGTTGAGGGGTAGGCGACGCTTCCTCAATCCACTGTTACCGTTCTAAACTATCTTTTTCGATTTGACATCCCCTGCACTCTAACACTGCAGTTTCCGCAAAGCAGGATATGAAGCCATTGACAACATTTGTGACTATTACGGATCCCTCGCATCACGACCCGTAGCAGCCCAGGTTGAGCCAAGGTTCCTCGTCGACGCTCTACCTCATCAAGCTCCTGAATTATCAAAGACATTTCAGACGATTTTCAGAAGCTTGCCGTTCCAGGGCTTACCCATTGGAAACACCCCGAGTTCTTCGCTTATGTGAGTAACGTTCGAATTCATATCGGATTCCGGTATATATTATGTTTTATAGTTCCCTTGTGGTAATACGTTTCCGGGAATCATCGCTGACCTGTACTCAAGCTCTGTCTCAAACCCTTGCTTCAACGTACGTCCAGATGTAGCACATTTTCAACGAGCTCGCTAATGTAACTGCTTCACACCCCCCCCCTCATCTACCGGTCAGTTCCCCAGCACGCACGGAGCTTGAACAAGTCGCGATGGACTGGGCCGCTAACCTCCTCGGACTCTCGTCTGCATTTTTCAACACCCCTCCAGTTGTACTCCCATCATTTACTCGCTCTTCTGCATCCTCTTCACCAGGTCCCGAAGGTAGGAGGCCCACTAGACGAGGAGGGGGGACCATTCAGAACACCGCCCCTGAGAGCGTTCTTGTAGCGATCATCGCTGCCCGCGAGCGATTCCTTTCTGCCCACCCTGATGTCCCCTCCGAAGACCTTCTCATCCTAAGCACCCAAACGCACAGTTTAGGCGTGAAGGGAGCAAAGATCCTAGGCCTGAGTTGTCGTTTGATGCCTGCATTGCGTGGGGCGTTAGAGGGGAAATGTTTAGAATGGCGTATGAAGAGGATCAGAGAAAGGGAAAAATGGCTTTTTATCTTCTGTAACGTTGGCTGTAAGGACACAATGCCGATTTGTGCTTTAGTTGGAACATGGGAACGACGTCTTCTGGAGCTAACGACCACATTGAAGAGATGGGTCCTATCAGTAAGTTCTGACTCGCCGTTTCACGCTTGAGAACCTAAACAAATGGACCTGAGCAAATTAGTCTCCGAACTCGACGATGTCTGGTTACACATTGATGCAGCATGGGCTAGGGTCTCCTTCGCTTGTCCCGAATTCCGTCGCGCTGGGAAGCTCGACGCCATCAACGCCTATGCGGATTCGTTTTGCACAAATTTCCACAAATGGGGATTGGTTAACATTGTACGTGCTTAGATACATTCTCTTTCCATCACGATCGCATGTGATGTTAAAACCAACCCGGCACAATCACTGCCTGATGGTTGACAGGAATGCTCCGCTTTCTGGGTCCGTGATCGCAATGCCCTAATATCCGCCCTGGACATAACACCTTCATCCATTCGTACCAAACAAATGATGACGGTACTGTTGTCGAATACCGCAATTGGCAACTCTCTTAATTGGGCGTCGTTTCCGATCTATCAAACTCTGGTTTGTACTTAGGAACTACGGCATTCAGGGTTTCAGAGAGCACATTCGCAAAGGGGTCAGGCTTGCGGAGCTCTTTGAAGACAATTTAATGTCGAGGAACCCGGAGACCCGGATATTCGAATTGGTGACGCTCAGGGCATTGAGTTTGGTTGTCTTCAGACTTGTCGTACCACCCCTTTCCACGGGTTCAGACGGGTCGGAACAGCAATCGAACGCTCCAACACCTGCTAAGAGTGAACCTCCAAGCTTAGAAACTCTTAACTCGCTCAATCTGGCGCTCCACCAATATCTTCCCCATCCTCCCAACTCAGATTCCGCCAATGCTCTCTTCCTCACTCGTACCGAGCTTAACGGAGTTGTTTGTATGAGAATGGCTATTGGAGCTGAAGCAACTACCGAGGCGCATATTACGAAAGCGCTTGGGATTTTGGACAGAGTTGGCAGAAAGATTTTGACGGATACGGGTCACATTGTGACAAGGGAATCGCATGACTGGCTGCTTTGAAGCGAATCTAGGTGAGTCGTCACTTACAGATGTGCACATGCAGAGCCATGGATGTCACGCATCAGCAAAGCGGCAGTATCACAGTCCTTCCAATTTCCGATTTCTGTCACCAATCACATCTCTTTCGCGGCTACAGGGCATAAGGTGCGCCAAACAAAGATGCGGCCCGGAAGTAACCCAAACAACTAGGAGAACGTAAGGACATGTACAAAGGGGTAATACAAACGCGTCAGAAGAACCCATTGCTACAATACGGGAATCGCGGCGGCATCGAACACAAAGGTATCAAAAAAGCCATCGTTCCATAAATTCAAACACGAGGAGAGAGAAAAATGTTGAACCTTTTCGCTCGCGGTAGGTGAGAAGGGAAAGCGCGAAAATACCCGTGTTGTCCAAGCTAGCATGATCACTGATATCTTAGGGTGCAGCCTTCTCTTCACTCCCTTCATCATCACCGGGTTGTGCCTTGCGGGCTTCAACGTTGTACCGGTCGGATACGCCAGGCCTCTCATTCATGTGAATGATCTCGGGGTTGAGAGCGAAGGCCCCCTTGGGAACAAAAGTGGAGACGAAGATGATGAATGCTAACACGCTGAAGTGGATGCCGCCGACACGAATGAGGGCGTCATACACGCTGCCCTTGCGGACGATGACTCGGTCAACGTAGTCTCCGAGGACTTTCGAGATGACAGCGTAAATAATGATGTATGCAGAGTAGAGGAAAGCCATGATACTCCCGAGGGAAGAAACCTGGGAATCGTCCTCGTCGTCCGAGTGGGTGAGGGATGACTGGATATATGCGGCTAATGAAACGTCACCAGCGGCCCACCCGAATGAGATAGGGATGAAGCAGGCGCCCAGTTGGTATGCGATGATAGTCCCGTGTTGCTCACGCTTGAAGAACGGAACGACCCAAATGATCATCAGGAGTAAGGCGTCCAGACGAAGCCAAGGAATTGGGGTCTTGACATTGTTGGCAAAAATGAAGACGAAAAGGGCACCGAATAATTCACCCAAGTTAGAAAACGCCACGAAGGTTTGAGAAAGGCCCGAATTGTTGAGGGCACGACGAGCGTAAATGGGGGCGATGGCATTTTCAAGATAGCGGTGGCAATGAAGCGCTACACTGTACGAAAAGAATAGCCATACATATTTCCGATGTAAGAGGACCAGTTGGGCCCCCTTGATGATCGAAAGGATGAAGAGTCGGAAACCTTCGATGACAGCGAGAGTGTAGCCAATAAGGGGGTTACGCTGCTTGCGCTCGATTACAACGAGGCTGCCTGCTTGAGAACCCCTAGCCCCGAAGGAGAGGGCAGAAATTTGGTACCAGACGATGGTGGCCAGCGCAAAGAGTGGAGGTGTGATGATGAAGGAGCTCAAATGATACTCATGTCAGTGTTCGATTTCACCCTCGCCAGTCCTAGTCGTGACTCACTAGTTGTTGCCCAGCTTGGCAATTAGTTGCGTGCTGGCAAAGGCGCCTCCTGTACCAGACACTTCATACATGATGTGTACCAAAGCGTCCATCCTCCTCAACTTCTCCGGGTTTGCGCCCACAATGTCTCTGGGGATAACCCGGCGAATGAGTTCAACCATGCCGTAGGCAATACCCGAGATGGTATAGATAGGGAAGAGACCGTTGGGATTCCAACTACCGTACTTGACTTTGTTGTTGTTGTTGGCCTTGATTTTACCACCGGTGGCAGCATCGACAACGAGGAGGACAGCAGACATGATGGAGAATATGAAGATCGCGGCAGAGAGCACCGTACGTGTGGGCGCCTTCTTGACAAGGGGGGAAATGAGGATGGCGCCAACACATTGCATGGCATAGTTCAGCCCGGTCAAGACGGCCAGTTTTCCAAAGGTGTGGTCAGCTTTGAAGCGATCGGTAGCCATCGTCACGACTGAACCGTTGAACTGCTCGAGGCCAAACTTGTACAGCATGATGCCGAGAATATAGATGGCAATGTTGCGCTTCTCGGTAGCGTCGTAAAGCGCCAGGATGCGCCTCACTTCGCTCGTGGAAGTCATGCTCAAGGAGCAAGGTTTAAATGAGAAGAGGGCAGCGGAGAGCAGCAGACGGCGAGGCGATGATGAAGAGCCTAACCTTGACACGACTCCTTATATGCAAAGCCCGAATGTCTATCATCTCCACATACAAGACTCGCGTACAGTCTAGGCGCCAAGGCCGAGGACATGCCCTTGGGTTCCCACACACGAAGTAAGCTTGGCCCTGGCCTCAGCATTACAAACGTGCGAAAAGATGGAGTATATTGGGACGTCCGTGTTCTGTTATCTAGTCGAGATTTGATCGGGAGTGGTTGAAAAAGACCATTGCCATTCATCCATAGCCGAGTCTGTGAGACGCTATCACATAGGCTAAGGGAAGTCAGCAAAGACTGGATGCTGAGCACTAAGCGGAAACGTGTGTTGGTTGCATTGGAGAGGTTTGGCACGGCATCGGATGCATAATGAACAGCCGAGACGGGGAGAGGATCATTTGCCATTTGTATCGATACACGAGCAAGGTACCCGCTATGCGAGTGACCAGCCTCTACTGGAACAGACTGGCAAGCAAAGCTCCCTTCGGTGCCTGGTCGTGACAGCCGCAGTGCCATGATGAGAAATAACGAGATGTTTGGTTATTCTGCTGCCTTCCATAAACACAGCCGCCACGCAAGCAAAGCTGGGATTTGCATCAATCAGCACAGTGCATGCAACGTGAGGACACCATTGCCAGAAGCAATATGAATCCACAGTGTTGATCAGCGTTGCTTCTTATGTGCACACTCGTAAACGCAGCGGGGCGAGAGAGCCATGTAGTAACGTCATGTTCCGGTGGAAGTACCTTGCTCCCGGAACATTGGTAAGTACTAGAGGGTAGCGTTAGCACTGGGGCATGGAAAGAGGGTCAGGTCAATACATGGCGCCTACGTCTTTGGGAGATGTATTGCATTGGACTTTGGTGCCGGGATGGGACCCTTGGGGACAGGAGTGTACACCGTCTTTTTAATGTTGTCTTACTTAGCCACAAGGGGAAGATGTCGACTGAAATCAGGGGGTCAGAAATACTATTGACGCTGAGTTGCTCCTGGTATATAAGTCGTTCCAGCACCAGCGCAAGCTGGTGTGGGCACTACATTCGCTCGTAATACTGCTGCCACTACGATAATTATCAGCACAAAATGGTGCTTCACTGTAAAATCCACAATCCTGTGAGCCATCGCAGGCCATCTTTGCGCCGAGTTCTCGTCACTAAGAGGACACAGACGTGGTTGACCCTCGTTCTGGGGTTCGCTCCGAAATTGGGTAGGTCAACTTATTTAAGCCGTACCACGAAACACGAAGCACCCGAAATTCTGGTGATTCGGCCAACTCCACTGCGCATGTAAATACCCGTATCAAATTACAATGCCCTATTCCATGAGGAAGATGAGAAGCAGTACTAAGCGCTTAATATTGTGCCAATGGGCATCCATCATGCCCAGCCGAGACCTTAAGCGAATGGTAGAGACCGCTATCCCCACCAGTTACCACACAACCAGTTTGGTTGCCGAGGGCGCCAGGGCCACGGTGAACAGAATAAAGCACACCTAAGTGTACCCCTTTCCTATCTTCAACAATGCGAAGATCACCTTAGCTGCAAATGGGAGCTCTCCTTGCCTCCATGTGACTTATGAATGGGTTTCCCCAGTTCGACGGGCTCATCGTCACTGGGACCGAAGGTTCCACATTTACGGAAGTTGTAGACATTAGAGAACGAACCGCAGCATCGGTCGGAAGGGGCCGCGAAAAAGCGGAAGAACCCGAGAAACGGGACGGAGTGAGATGGGGGGACGGTATAGAATGGGCGATGGAGCTTAGTGGATCAATGGGGTGCCATGTGGTACTTCCTGTTCGAGCGGGTGAAGGGTGGAATTTTCATGGAGCTAGATCGAATGGGTGTCGAGTGCAAAAGGTTGTTGAATGCCTGCTCCTCGAAGGCATGACCTATGGCCTTATCTTCCATCATTACGAGACGGTGTTCGACCTCGCATCATTTACATCGCCATTGCCATCGCCATGCTAGGAAACGAATGTTCTTTTTCACATTGAATCGTTGCGGAGTGACATGAACATCGGATAAGGAAAGATGCTCATATGTTGTAATTACTATGTGTGTATTAGTCGTTCCAAAGCACCAGCCACTTTTATTTCGTGATCAGGCCCCTGCAGCTGTCCTCCGACAGAACATGTGAGATGATGAAGAATATATACATCTTATCCGAGATGGGGAAGAAAGGAAGACCAAGGCGGCGTTCGATATAGATCAGGAGATGGAGAACGGAGGGATGCGAATGTCAGAGCGAAGAGAATAATCCGGGCGATGACATAAATCGTCCCACTGGCCCAAACAAGCCATTTGGCATGATAACCGGTCTTTTCCAATGTTTCTACTACACCGACGCAAAGGGCAGGAACCACTGTAATATATACCGCACAAATGCGCCACAAAAGTGCTTCCGCGTGCGTCGGAAAAGGGAAGAGCCATGCGGAACAGTGGATTCCGCCGAAGATGGCGCTCACAAGCCCGGCCAATGACTCTGGCTGCAATTGGCGAAGGCGAATCAGCCTTATTCTCTACTTCAAGAGGCCCTCTTTCCCCACTTGAATTGGCGAACGGACATCAGGGGGCTTATATATACCACCACAATGCGCAGACGATAATGCTCAGTGCGGAGTATCCAAGCGTCATTGTCTCGAGCTGCGATCTGTGCAGATGTCCCACCCATCGCCCCACATATTGAGCGATGAACCACGGCAATTGAAGTGATACAATAGAGTTGGATAAAAAATCGCCTTTGCTTTTGTGGAGAATTTCCTGCTTCGTTACTGCGACAACCTGACGATGACGATTTCCCGTCCTTTGAATGATGCCAGGGTATTGGCCCAAGAAGGAGGGACCAAGTTCATGATGAATGTCAAGTCCTCTTGAGTCAATGAAACCTCCCATAATGACAAAGTGTGAATGCACAAGTGTCCACCCTAACATGTGAAAATCAATAGGTCAAGCCTATGTCTCGATTGATTCACATCGATCATTTCCTCCATACCTTCGACATTTTTACATTCTCTTGATAATACCCAGGCTCTTGAGAATTCACCCCATGCCAAAGCAACAACAAGTTCTGGGAAAATCAGGGAACTCCTCATTAAGCCCAAACGATCACTTCTCAATATCTCCTTTTTCATGCGATGCCCCAGACCCTGATGCTCATCTCCTTTCACCACATCCGGGTGTACAGCCGTCCATATGCAGATAAATATTGTTAGGAGACAGCTGTAAACGAGGTTCCACATCGTACGGCAATTCCGGAGGTCATTGCATGCTTCCGATACGTTCATCGACAAACTGGTGGCGTTGAGAGATGGATAGGGGAAGATCGGTGCGGCGTAGGCGTTGTTGGCGAGAATAAACGTGATAAGAGCAGTTGCCATCGGAACAGGGATACAACACGGAACGACATTCGCCTGGAAGCTTTATACGCCACTGGGTACATAGCCTTCTGTCAACCGTGCAGCTTCTGGCGAGGACGGTCACAACATATAAATCAAATTCAGCTCATTCGCACAACAGCGAAGCAGTCTTTGCATAAATGGGGGCCGGGGGTCTACTTGATGGTGTCGATGTTACGAAGCTTTTGCCGATTAAGATTTCAACTGCCTTGCTAGAAATCAAGAGCAGGGGTGCAACAGGGGTTTCGCGGGATCAGCGAATTCAACGCTGGAACCCCCATGATCTTCGAGTTATATAATGAACACAACATGCATTTCATATTGGCATCTTGCATGGGAGGTATTCAACCACTGCCGAGTCCCTTCATACAGAGATTTCACAGTCTCGAAGCAGACAATAAGACAGTGTACCGCTTGGAAAAGCCATCGAGCCTTTCTAAGATATGGAATCACGCCGCGCGGCCGCGCGGGTACTCGGAAATTAATCACCGTATCCTCGTTCCCCCACAAAAAGTGCACGTTGAACACGCATGGGCCTCGAGGAAAAGCCTGTCCCTTATCGGTCTCTCACAAGCTGTCAGAGGAAGCCCAGGCCAGCGCGCGGAATAAGAGTACTTGGTTTATTGGGATGTTGCTTCCATCGGGACCAAAACAAGAAAACGCAACTACATATACCGTGCGGGTGCAGGGTCTCAGAAATTAGTCGCCGTATCCTCGTTCCCCCATAAGAAGTGCAAGTTGAACACGCATGGAAGTCAATGCTGTCCTTATTAGTCCCTCACGAGCTGTCAGGGGGGATCCAGGCCAGCGGAAACGGAGCACTTGGTTTATTGGGGCGTTGCTTCCTCACGAGACAGGCACAAAGGTCACGCCAGAGCTGAGATCGGCGTATCTTTGCCTGGTGACAGGGTGCGCGCGCGAATCATCGGGCTCACCACTCCCATTGCACGTATCATCTACGGGTAGCTTTCAGCCCGACCTTAATGGTCCCCGGCTGGCACATTACTGCTGTGTCGATTGGACGCGCGGACACCGTGTGAGAATCTCGGGCCAAACCATTCGTAAGCATCAGTTCGCGATGAGCCGGTCATGCAATCCTCAAGAAAGGACTTGGACAAACCGACTTGTGAGCGACTCAGAAAAGAATGCCCTGTCCAAGCATTTCTGCGGAAGGAAAAAGAGGGACCAGTATGGCAAAGAACGGTTCACCAAAACGTGATTGAGAGCGGTTGCCATTGGAACTTGGGGATACAACACGGAAACGACATTTTCCTGGAAGCTTTATAGAGCCACTGGGTGCATAGCCTTTTTTCAGCTTAATTTGCAGTGCTGCCTCCTGACGAGATAGGCGCGAAGGGTCACAGCAGAACTGAGATCAACGAAACCTTTTAGGGTACCTCGATCTCGGCTGCAAAACTACCTCAGAAGTAGGGGCGAAGTCTATTCCAATAGAGGCTGGTAATCCACCTAGCAAAGCTATCGGCTTCGTATAAATGGCTGTGAGGCCGCATGGGTGGTTAAACAGAGGTCATCGCGATATCCGAAAATATTTGCGGCTCGCACTGCCACATTCGGGATTCTCCGGGAGAGATGAAGTTCGCCTTACCTTACTTTACTTCAGGGCAATCTTGGGCATCGCAAATGTAATGTGCTAGTAGGAGGTTTTCATATACTGCTAGAAATCCTGGGACATGGTACGTACAACCGTATGTTCGCGATACCGATAGGATGCCCCAAGTTATGCTCTCATGTTCTGTCTTGGTGGTCGCATTAACATCTGGGCATTGTCACTGATCACTATGCACGAAAATCGCACCATCACTGCCCCAAGGTTTCCTGTGCCTCCCCATAGTTACATCCACATCAAGAATCAATGGGATGAAGAGGCTACATCTGCGGTATCTTCTAAATACTATGGCATCTGACTGTGTTAGGAAAGTGTTATTTGATGTCGATCCGGGTAACTGCGTCCGCCTACTGAGGACGAGCTCCAGCGCATGCTTGCTCAGCTGTCTTTGTGTTCTGGAAGGCCTGCGTCTTCTAAATGGGACGGATTTAAAGAGTTCTCAACTTTGGGCTGTGCTTTATTCTCATGGATTTGGCTTTCCGGGTTTGCTACTCACCGTGTTGGAATTCGAGCAACAAGAGTGCATGTTGATGTGCATGGCAAATAGGAGGAAATATGTGACCAAGCTTGTGCTACCATTCAGTCTACACTGGTGCAGCACACTGGGGGCACAATAATTCCATGGTCGGAGCGACCCTCGTCCTAGATGTGTGTCAAGGAAACACCATGGAAGTGCCCTGGCGACAACCTCATCATCTTCCGGTTTGAGGCAAAGCAATGTCAGATCTGGCGGGTGTTGTCTGTATATGATTGTTGATGGAGCGGTTCATTCTTTGTTCCATGGGAGGAGCCCGGCCCCTCGACCAAAAAGCCAGAGAGCCCAGTCTATTCTCGCCCGTTCTAACTCATGTTTGGCCTGCAATGAATTAGTGCGAGCATCATGATAACAAATATTGCTAAAAGCGCATTCTGGCGTCCAATTGTTGGCCCCATGGCAACAAGGGCAGCAAAGGAAGAAGGTGAGAATGTGTAGGGTCGCCGATGGCTGGAGGGCATAGTGATCAGCTGGATGATGGCGCCTTCATCGGGGACGGTATACACAAACTCAGACATCTGTGGTTACACCACTTGAGTCTACAGCTATCCTAACCAAGCCACCTGCTGAGCTGATGCTTCAACACATCGCATGAAGGCTTACGTCCGTCCATGTAAGGTCTGTGCCAAGTGTTTGCTGCGACAGCAGAACTCCTCGGCTCGCATCCGTCGTCGGGACCCCCTGACCCCGCAAGCGGCACAGGAGGCCACAGCTCAGCATGTACCTCCGGCTCCAGTCCACTGCGATAGGGCGTAGTCTAGTTCATGCCGGTGTGTGGTTGGTGGAGCATCCTAGTCTTGACCATGCGTCGACGTGTCATTCCCCAGCATGTGAAACGTTGAATGCATCATGCATTGCGCACGTCACAGTTTCCAAGAGACCTTCAAGCCGCAATCCCTGATGTTTCGTTCTCCCAACATTCGTCTTCGGGTGGTGTTGCACACTTCCGATATATTTTATGAGAAACTGGCGACGTTAAGAAGTGAACATGGAGTGAAAGTAGCATGGGAACGAAGATATGGGAACAAGAAAGACGTCTTATGTGGTGGCGACACTGCGCAGTGCAGGGCTGGTTCCGGTGATTAGTTATAAAATGGTACCCGCGCGTCAACCGCGGAAATTGAAATGTACGCGTCAGCATCCACTGGCAATGGCGTTGAAGCAGTAGCCCGACGAGTTATACGGGATATGCAAAGCGGATCTTTGACCATGAGGCAGTGTAACGCAACCTCAGAGTTTTCGAATGACTGAGACCAGTGAACCCTTGTTCTGTGACATCCGCGGGTGGTAATGGTCTGCGAATTCCAGCTGCGCGCGGACGAGTTGGCCATGTACTAGACACTCGGACTGCCGTATGATATTATGGAGCCCCTTCGGTATGAGTGCTTATAAAGCATCCGTGTCCTGTGTACATGTACGGATCACCAATACAAATAGCTAAATCCCGCTCAAACCGCTTGCGCGCCAGCTCGTATCTGATATACAAACACTCGGTGAGTGACATGACAAGGAAAGGTGCTCGAGCGCTCATGATGCAACCGCATCCAGTTACTATGTGTGTATTAGCCGTCGCGTCCTAAAGCACCAGCCACGTCTCTTTTCTCCTGGCCATACAGGCCCCTGCGCACATGCAGCTAGCTGTCCTGCGATGTACAGAACATGTGAGATGACTCGGATGAAGAATATATTTATCTTATCCGAGATGGGGAAGAAAGGAAGACCAAGGTGGCGTTCGATATAGAGAAGGAGAAGGAGAGCGGAGGGATGCGAACGTCAGGGCGAAGAGGATGATCCGGGCGACAACATAAACCGTCCCAATGGCCCGACTAAAGTCTGAGTGGGAACCGTGAAACGTTTTGTACAACATTCGTGATCCACCGATACCAAGAGCAGGAGCTACTGTAATAGATACTGCACAAATGCGCCATATAAGTGATTCCGCGTGTGTTGGAAAGGGGAAGGACCACGCGGAACAGTGAATTCCGCCGAAGATGGCGCCGGTGAGTACAAATATCCAACTTGCATCCAATTCAACAAATGCGTCACAAGCTCGGCCAATGGCTCTGGCCGCAAGTGACGGTGAATGTGACTCATTCTCTACTTGAAGAGGTACTTGAGTGACATTGACCTCCGAAGTCGGAAGGTGAGTAGGGTCCCCTCTTGGCGTCACTTGAATTCGCGAACGGATATCAAGGGGCTTATGCCACCACAACGCACAGATGATAATGCTCAGTGCGGAGTATCCAAGCGTCATTGCCTCGAGCTGCGATTTGTGCAAATGTCCGACCCATCGCCCCACATATTGAACGATGAACCATAGCAATTGAAGAGATACAATGGACTTGGATAAAAAATCGCCCTTGCTTTTGTGGAGAATTTCCTGTTTCGTTACTGCGACAACCCGACGATTTCCCGTCCCCCGAATGATGCCAGGGTATTGGCCAAAGAAAGAGGGATCACGTCGACGAAAGAAACGTGTCGTTGGGTCGATGAAACCTCCCATTTCGACAAAGTATGAATGCACAAGTGTCCACCCTAGCATGTGAAAATCAATAGGTGTCAAGCGTTCGTCTCAATTGATTCATTGCATACCTTAGACATTTTTGCATTTCCTTGATATTTTCCAGGCTTCTGAGAATTCCTCCCATGCCATAGCAACAACCCATTCTGGGAAAATCAAGGAACTCCTCATTAAGCCGAAACGATCACGTCTCTCCATCTCCTCTTCAATGCGATCCCCCATGCTCAGATTCATGCGCCGGTGATGCTCAACATTCGGGTGCACAGCCGTCCATACGCAGATAAATATTGTTAGGAGACAGCTGTAAACGAGGTTCCACAGAGTACGGCAATTCCGAAGGTCATTGCACGCTTCGGATACGTTTATCGACAAACTGGTGGCGTTGAGAGGATAGGGGAGGATCGGTGCGGCGTAGGCGTTGTTGGCGAGAATAAACGTGATGAGAGCGGTTGCCATTGGAACTTGGGGATACAACGTTTGTCTGGAAGCTTTATACGGTAGCGCCACTGGATGCATAGCCTTCTGTCAACGGCGCAGCTTCGGCAAGGAGGTCGCAACATCCATTTCAAGTCCAATTCAGCTTATTCGCACAACAGCGATGCAGTCTTTGCAAGGGATTTACTTGGTCTCACAAAGCTCTTGCCGATTAGAGGTCAGTGGATTTAGACTGCCTTGCTGGGAATCAAGAGCGGGGGTGCAACAGGGGTTTCGCGGGATCAGCGAATTCGACGCCGGAACTTCCATGATCTTCAAGTTATGAACAGAACAGGCATTTCATATCGACATCTTCCATGGGCAGGATACCAGCCTCTAATGGAATATCCACGCACCTCCGTTTGACTCTGCAGAAGCAATGTCCTGTCTGGGTGGATCAAACACAACGTACAGCTTCGTTTCGACTATCGAGTTACCGGTCTATAACGACGGACTACGTCATGGCAGTACATTATCCTGTTGTTTGCCGCGTCAGGATGAGTGTTGTCCATGAAGAATGAGCGTTCATAATACAGGCCTGGGTTTAGCTCAGCTCACTCGGTGGTTATGTACGTTGGGTTGAGGCGGAACAGGACCCCGGCATACTCCGTCTGATGTCCGTTCGGAGTTCGACTTTAGCCCTTCTGTGGATCGGAGTTCTGGCGCTGAGCGCAGTGCAAAAGGTTGTTGGCCGCCGCACCTGTTCTCCCTCGAAGACATGACCCGACCTCGCATCACCTCCATCGTCGTTGCTATCGCCATGCTGGCAGTCAGCGTTCAAGTTAGCACAACTGCATGATAATGCTCCCGGCCAATGCATTAGCAAAGCCGCTGCTAACTACAATATCGATACTCAGCAAACCCTCGGCATGTGCATAGTACGTATGTATTAGCCGTTCTAGATCTAAAGCGTTAGCACTCTTTTCTTGTAATCGGGCCCCTGCAACTGTCGTCCGACACAACATGTGAGATGATGAAGAATAAGTACATCTTATCCAAGACGGGGAATAAATTGGAAGACCAAGATGGCGTTCGATATAGATTAGATCGAGCGGAGGGATGCGAATGTCAAAGTACGTAAAAAGGATGATCCGGGTGACGACGTCATGGCCCAACCAACTTCGTGGAAACGGTGAAACCTCTGATCGAAGGGGCTCGTTGTGATATATATATGCGCCATATGAGTGATTCCGCGTGTGTCGGAAAAGGGACAGACCATGTCGAACCTAGTGAACTCCACCAAAGATGGTGCCGGTGATTACAAATATCCACCCATTATCCAATCCAGTGAAAGGAGAAACCTGCATTGCATGGGAGGCACCTGATTGTTGGGAAATCGGAGTGTCACTTGAATTGACATCAGGGGGCTTATGCCACCACAACACGCAGACGATAATGCTCAGTGCGGAATATCCAAGCGTCGCTAACCCCGAGCTGCGGCGTATGCAGTTGTCTCCGCCCATATATTGAGCAATGAACGATAGCAATGCCTAGACAACGGACTTGGATAAAACATCGCCCTTGCTTTTGCGGAGAATTTCCTGCATCGTCACCGCGACAACCTGATGGTTTTCTGTCCTCTGAATGATGCCAGGGTATTGGCCAAAGAAGGGGGGATCATGTCGACCAAAGAAACGTGTTGTTGGGTCAAAGAAACCTCCCATGCCATACCAACAACAAGATCCGGGAATATTAGGGAACTCCTCATCGAGCCGAAACGACCATTCCTCACCATTTCACCTCCCAGATCCATATCGCCCTTACCTCCCCCCACCACATCCGGGTGTACAGCGGTTCATAGACAGATAAATATTGTTAGGAGACGCTCAGGCTGTAAACGAGATTCCACACGGTACGGCAATTCCGAAGGTATTTGCATGTTTCGGATATGTTTGTTGACAAACTGGTGGCATTGAGAGGTGGAGTTGCGAAGATCGGTGCGACATAGACGTTGTTGGCTCTAGAATGTTCATTTAGTATGATCTAGCGATCGATACTAGGTACACAGCCGGGTTCTGTTAACCTTCTGCAGGTTTAAAGCCCATATCAAATCCAACCAATTCACACCGTATGGCAAAGCAATTTTTGCGATGCATGGAATCATGCTGCCCGGTTCTCTGAAATTGACACATCGAATCTGTATTCATTTCGTGCCTGAACAGACCAAAACGAGAAGGTATGAGACAACACCGCACGGGCGCGCGAGTCCCAATCACTGTATTCTCGCTCACTCAGAAGAAGTTGCGTGTTGAACGTGCGTGAGCATCGAGCCAGAGACAATTCTGTCCTCATCAGTTCCTTGGGAACTGTCAGAGGAAGCCCAGGCCAGCGGAGAGTAGAACTACTTAGTTGGTAGCGATATTGACTCACGAGACAAGTGAAGAGGTCACGCCAGAGCTGAGATGATCGGGTGCATGCGCATCAACATTGCTGCGGATTCCTAGCTGAATAGTCTCCTCAGAAGTAGAAGAATGGCTGAATTTATTGGGGGTTGTGCCGTTCAGCATGACTCCCGACCATCCCCTGCTAGCACAATATATACTGTATCAATTAGATGCGCGGACACCGCATTCTTGGTGAAGTGTGAATCTCGGGCGAAAATGATTGGTAGTGCTGGTCAATAATAAACCGATCATGGAATCCTCATGCTCAGGCTAGAAAGTCGAGCTGACGACCCGGACAAGTACCGCATTTTATCCAAGTATTTTAGTAGGAGGGAAGGACCACTAGGATGACCGTTCACCAAGACCCCAGAAAGGAACAGAAAGAGGCATGCTTGTTAGCCCCCCAATAAATAGCGTTTAGACATACAGATGGTTCCGTAACGTCCACATTGATCCACCCATCGACGATTCGACAGAATCCTGAGTCCACCATCCAGTTCCCCACCGTTCGAAATTGAGTATGCATCACGCAAACCCTTGCCGATGCTCTTAAAATGTACCTGAAATGGGGACAGTCATGACTCAATGCTAAATCGATATGTCTAGCCACGAGCGCTATACCAAAGTGATGAGAACGAGGATACAGTGTGTCAGGCAGCGGAACACATCGTCGAAGCACAAGGCCCGGAGACATTTCTCCGAATTTTTGCATCCGTTGTTCGAAGGTCAACATACTGTCAACAGCATTGGCCGCGTTCTTCACATACCTCCCCTCTGATCGAGCATATGGAGCCACATACGAATAATCCCCCACAAGTAAGTGAAAAATTATGTCTTTGTCTTGAACAGCCTCTGATGTTTTGAGTGCTAGCGTCTGATCATCAGGGTAACGAAAACCACGACTGTGGAAATAACACCTGACAATCACACGGGGGCGTCCCGCCCATCCAAGGCTCGTCAAGTCCCACCTTTTCACTTCGGCGCTCATGAACGAACTGATGTCTACTGCACACCAGGTGTCTTGGGTGGAGGCTGGGCCAACTGGAGGTGCCAAAACTGGCACCTCAAGAGCAGCCAAACGTCATGGATAAGTAGTGTGAGTGTCAGTAAACTGTTGTTTCAATAGGACTGACAATCATTGTGGAACGGCACCTCGGTCGCCAGCTGACCAGAAGGAACAGGGTGACTGCGAATACGGTTGTTGCGGCACGTTTGAGCTTTCTGATGACGGCCGCGGTGATGGGATGAATTCACAAATTGCCACCTATCACTGGCAGCCCACGAGTTCAGTGGGACCATCACCTCCCTACTTCATCCTACGTGTGCCTACTCTTCAATGAATCTATCTCAACCTTTGTACCCATTCCAAGTGGAGGAATCTCGGGAAGATTTCGTCGGTTGAGTTGTGCAATCATTAATCATTGACAGTATGTTCACTGAGGAGGCCGAGAGGTAGGATATGTGAGTTTGGGAGGTAGCACCGTTTAGTCGTCTCTGGGGTAGGTCTGCTGCAATACTCCCGGTGTGTCCTCAGCCACGACGATTTCGAGGTGCAGGGCATTGGAATCACAGCTCCTAGAGGTCTGAGGTGCAGCTGCAGGCAAGTGATTGTGTCTGGGATCGATAAGGGCTGGTAATGTAGATGGTTGGGAAAAAGTTATATCGGCTAACTCGCTTTCTGCAGTCATGCGCGGCCAATGAATTCTATGCATCATCGATATCCTTGTTATGGTAACGCAATTGAGATGAGCTACCGCTAAGCTGCTAAGCTGCACCGTTTCAGCCTGCTTCGAGATTGAACTAATGCCATCTTCCGTGAAGAACGTTCGTGCTGGTCCTGATTCTATTGGTGTGTCGTTGTGCACGCGCATATACTATACGGTACTAGGGGTCGGATTCTCTTAGTAGTCTACGTGCATACCGCGGTGGATTGGACTGGTTCTGGCCCACAGCGCGACAACCCCACTCGTGAGTACCGAATGATACCCCCGAAAGACCTGCTTCGCTTCAATGCTGCGACACGTAGTCAATACTAATCGCAGATCGTTCCGATCCGTTGGGACTTAGCTTGCCGAGACAATCAAGCGCAGAACAGGGAGATTGGAAGAAACTCACATCGTGGACGCCTTATTGATGATTGCTGCTGGAAAAATGAATGAACTAGAAGCGGATGTGGATGAAATGTGACGAGGCAGCTAAAGAAAAAGATGATGAGGGCAAGATTCGAACTCGCAAACCAAAGACTGCGTGTCCCAGGTCACTCTGATTCATTACAAGTCTCAACTAATCTCCCTGTTGCAGGCACCTCGCACTCGCCGTTCACGATGATATCTGCATATTCAGTGGAGGTTGGTATATACGTCCAAGTGTCCATCTGGAAAGTCTGACGTCTATCAACTGACGCAAACCTCATCTCACGCTTCCGTCTCTGCGTGGGACACACCAACAAGCATCGGCCTTTGTGAATAATACGCCCAACATAATTGCGTACTCTGTCTGCAACCTTAGATATGATGTCCCTGGAATAATGGCGAAACTCCTTGCCTGGAGGAGGATAGGCTAGCGGCAAAATTAACATCATCGATCGCAAATATAAATGGAATATTGCGCACTTTTGAGAACAGGGCTAAGCTCCTCACGAATATTGATTGGAATCGTAAATACGGAGAGCGCAGCTTCGTGGACCATTCTGGATTTCCCCATACCCGACGGCTGGATGACTAATAGAGACAAATTCTATGATCTGTGACTTGGGCTGTACCCGGCGCTTGACTGCCAATGCTCATTCAATATCTCGATAAGCAGCTTGTGTCTCTCTCCTCGATAAGGCTCTTGAAATGCTGACCGAAGACTTGACGCAACTTGTCAGGCAGATGAGGAACTCAAAGATAAACCCGCGAATACTTGAAAGCCCGCCACTCTCCTGATTGATAAGATCCGTCATATCGTAGCTTTGAATAGGTCAAGGCACGCTGCCTTAGTCGTGCGGTGGATGTTTCGGCGCGGATGCACCATTCTCAGTACTAAACTTGGGGGAGAGTGCTCACGCTTGTGAAAGCTCGAAGGACCCTCGACAACCCCCTTCTCTCTTCTCCCTGACTCCTGCCTCTTCTTCTTCACCGCACTAGCCATCAAAGTCTTACTACCGCTGTTCAAACTCCCACTAGAGCTCCTAGGTCTTCCTTTTTTCGTTTGGGATAAGGATATGGTGGGTGACGCGCTGCCTCTTCGTTATTATTGCCGTAGTGTTGATTGGGGACCTAATGCCAATGCGTGACAATTTTTGTCGTGTATAAATTACCTCGGAGAGTTGTCACTTCAGCCTACGCAGTGGTTTAAGCCGAAGGGCGGTATTGGCACGACGATTCTGCGATCCTTCAAACCACGTAAGCACTTTTACTTTCATTTTCTCACCTCTTCCCTCCAAATCCCTCGCTCCTCGTCTCATCCCCGCTCCCATCTTCCCGTTTGCGCGTGCACACATGACTGACGAATAATATTCCCTTCAAACAAAACAGCCGCTTCCGTCCTAATGACCCGAAACCAGACGGTCTACCCTCCATTCAAGTAAAACTAGGCTTTCTCATGCTTCACCCTCTGCCGCTTCCGGGGCACTCCTACCACAGCTTTCCAGTCCATCCTCCTCCAAATCCAGAGCGATACTGAATCAGAAAATGAACAAATTTTCGCCAGACCACCTACGCAGGGCTTTGGAACGATCCGTTTGTTGACAAGTCCTCAGTCGAGTCTTAAGCGGGCCATCGTGGATTGAACTGGTCCTTAATGACGGTGGTCTTGACCTTCCTCCCGCCAAACTCGAGCGATACGTATTTGTGAGCGCCGGATGGCAGAGCAATGAAAGAAATGAGGTGGGAATGAAGGTAGAGAGAAGTAGGTACGTATGGATCATTCTTGCCGTTAGGAGCGGGTTAGCTTGTACAACCTAATATTTGAACCTTGAGTATGGCAAGAGGGAACTCCCCATCTATAGTGATGATCTGATATGCCAGACTTGTCAGAAGCCGAGTACATTGAAGAGGTGGACTTCCGTTGATCGAGCGGCGGAGCATGGGATCGTTGATTAGTTGCAGTTAGCTTATTATGGTGGTCAGTGGTTGCTGGCGTTGTTGTTGTTGATAAGAGAGCAAAGAGAGAGATAGATTGATGTGGAGTATATCAAATGCTATATATAACTTTGTAGATGCTTGTGACCTGCTGAAGGACAAAGAACCGGGGGGGATGCATGCGTACAGGCGCGTCGGACATAGGAAGTATCTGGTAGCGATACTAGGCACACAGCATTCAGCCAATTCACACCGAATATACTGAGGTGAGACTTCTAACCAATCAGAGGGACTTGGGAATCGCGCCTCGAGTTGCTGGTGAGGTAGCGAAGTGGTCAAACGCGCTGGAATTAGGTTATCTAATGCATCCAGTCTTCGGTTCGCGAGTTCGAATCTCGCCCTCATCATCTTTTTTCTTTGGCTGCCTCGTCACATTTCATCCACGTAGTTCATTCATTTTGTCAATAAGGTGTCCGCGATGCGAATTTCTTCCAATCTCCCTGTTCTGCGCTTGATGGTCTTGGCAAAACGGATCGGAACGGATGTGCAGTTAGTATTTTCTATGTGTCGCAGCATTGAGGCAAAGCGGGTTTTTCAGAGGAATGTTTGGGTATCATTCGGTACTCACAAGTGGGGTTGTCGCACTGTGGGACTGGGGGGCCAGAACCAGTCCAATCCATCGCGGTATGCACGCAGACAACGACATACCAATAGGATCAGGACCAGCACGAACGTTCACGGAAGATGGCAGTTCAATCTCGAAGCAGGCTAAAGCGGTGCAGCTCAGCGATAGCTCATCTCAATTGCGTTACCATAACAAGGATGAGGCATAGAATTCATGTGGCCGCATGACTGCAAAAAGTGAGTCAGCCGATAACTTTTTCCCAACCAGCTACAATAACACCAGCCCTCATCGATCTCAGACACGATCACTGACACTTGCCTGCAGCTGCGCCTCGGACCTCTAGGAGCCGTGATTCCGATGCCCTACGCCTCAAAATCGTCGTGGTTGATCCTGAACCGGGAATATTGCAACCAACCTACTCCAAAGACAGCTCAACGATCATGGGGCATGCTACAATCCTCACAGACTCTCATATCCTACCTCCTCTTGGCATCCTCAGTGATCATACACAACTCTACCGAAGAAATCTTCTCGAGATTCATGGTCACAACCGTTGGGATAGATTGATTGGGGAGTAAGCAAACATAGAACAAGGCAGGGAGATGAAACTAGGAGATGGTCCTACTCTCAACTCGTGAGGTGCCAGTGACGGTGGGCTGTTTTGAAATGATTGTCAGTCTTATTGAAACAACAGTTTCCTGATACTCACTACTCAGCCATGAGGTTTGGCTGTCCTTGAGGTGCTGGTTTTGGTACCTCCACTGGGCCCAGCCTCCACCCAAGACACCTGGAACGCAGTAGACATTAGCTCATGAGCACTGAAGTGAAAAGGCGGGGTGCATCCGTGTGGTCGTTAGCAGGTGTTACCACCACAGTTGTGGTTTTCGTCACCGTAATGATCAGACGCTAGCACTCAAAGCGTCAGAGGTTGTTCAAGACAAAGACATAATTTTCCACTTGTGGGGGAGGATTCGTATGCGGCTCCATATGCTTCTTAATTATCGATCAGAGGAGAAGTATGTGAAGAACGCAGCCAATGCTGTTGACAGTATGTTGACCTCGAGTAACGGATGCAAAAATTCGGAAAAATGTCTCCGGGCCCTGTGCTTCGATGATGTTGTCCGCTGCCTGACAGGCCACCTAGGTTCTGGATCACCCTACTCTCACGTTCTCGGTATAGCGCTCATGGCTAGCTTGTGTATTGTTTCTTCAACGGTTTTTTCCTTACATGACTTTGGACAGAGGGCTTTGTTTATGTGCTAATAGTGGGGAACTGGATGGCGGAATCAGGATTCCGTCGAATCGTCGATGAGCGGATTGATGTGCACGTTACGGAGCCATCTGTATGTCTAATAGGGTGCTAACAAGCATGCCTCTTTCTGTTCCTTTCTGGGGCCTTATTATTGTTGAGCGGTTTTTTGTCATCCTAGTGGTCCTTCCTTTCTGCTAAAATACTTGGGTACGATGCGCTCCTTGCCCTGGTCGTCAGCTCGACTTTCTAGCCTGAGCATGATCGGCTTATCATTGACTGGCACAATTCCACCCGAGATTCACACTTTACCAAGAATGCGGCGTCCGCGCACCCAACCGATCAGTATATATTGTGCTAGCCGGAGTCACGCTGAACAGTACAACCCCCGATAAATTCACCCATTGTCAATTATATAATGCGTGCATATAGGCAGGCCTGTACGTACTACAAGCACTACAATTTGGCGTATACTGGCCAACTCGTAGCGTCACCTCTACTTCTGAGGATACTATTCAGCTAGCAATGTTGATGCGCACGCACCCGATCACCTCAGCTCTGGCGTGACCTTTCACTTGTCTCGTGAGGAGTCAATATCGCCAACGACCAAGTAGTTTACTTTCCGCTGGCCTGAGCCTCTGACGGCCCCCAAGCGACTGACAAGGACAGAAGTAACCTTTGCTTGATGCTCACGCACGTTCAACACTCACGCACAACTTCATTTCGCCGTCAGCGGCGAGATATTGCTTGTGTCTCGGCAAGTATCTCTCGCCACCCCGAATGTCGGAACCAGGTTTGAAATTCCAACACTCGTCCAGTAATCTTACCTTTCAACGTCGAAGCCCTACGTTTAACAGCTGATCGCGCTTGTATTGCCAGAGCAGAACAGCACCTCGTGAGTGGATGTGTCATCTTCTATGAAGCGACGGGTTTCTTCTGCCGCTGCCCTCAGCCCCATCATCTCCTTGTCGAAGGCTTCTATATAACCGTCCATCGATCCATTCCTCCTTAGTCGATCCGTTCTTCTCTCCTATCCCCAGTCAGGAAGAGCACCCTACCGACGATTGGTATGAGATTCGTGTTTTGGCCGAAATCAGAGATCTTCACAGCATCCTAAAAAGGCATGGAGGTGAATTAAAACACCGAAAACAAAACAAACAGTTGACTGGTATGAGTGTGTACCACGAAGTGAGGAAGTGAAGCCTGATGACATCTTCGACCATGTCAGCAAGAGAAATGAACCTATGAACCTATGAAACACAAAATGCACAAGATGTCAAAGACGAATTAGGCAAAACATAGATGTCAGGATTGGATGATCCCCAGATTGCATTCAGCCACTCGACACTCTCAGGCATAGGTGAACTTCAGTCCCATGAATGAGTCCAAGCATATTCAACCAGCATGTTAAAACTTACTGTTTCGCCTCGAACACGGTGCAGATCAGAACGGATCTGATACGAATATCGTGAACGAACCGCTTACGCGCTTGATCTCTTTCTCGATTTTGCGGCTGGTTAGGTCAACCAAGGCATAACTAGTTACGCCAATACTCCACACATCGAGAACATCCAAAGGCTACTAAATTAGTAGAAGGGCAACATGCCATCAGCTCAGCTCTCCAATAGAGTCTTTGTTCCTTCTCTCACCCTTTGCCAAATGCAGAAAAGGACCATGCAAACCCGATGGCGGCAAAAATGAACAGACCAAGTCGATTGACTGCCGAAAGGACAGGCTTGATAGATTCTATAGGTGGATATGGCTGGAAAGCAATATTCGTTAGTTCGGCGGGCCTTGGTGCGCTGTGCACAATATCGTGGTGACTGGGAAATTACAACAGAAATTATTACAAAGGTCGTGAAGATATGAAACTTGGACCTACGCATATGAGAGGGGATGCACAGCACTCCTTCAGAGTCACTGAGGCCGAAAGCATTACCCTCGGGCCTTGTCCCATCGCCTCCAGCGCCCTCGGCCAGCCTGCGCTACTGCAGCCCCAGGGTGTAGCGCGGGTCCAGGCGTTAGATGTGCTGGATCCAATGCATCGTTATCATAATCTTACCGCGCACAAAAAGAAATTGTTTACAACGTCAGAATTTCCAAACTCGGATGCTTCCCAGCTCCAAATTAAGTCAAAGAACTCACCCGATAATTGTGCATCCTTGATGATGACATCTTTCCCAGAGATGGGGTCCCGGACGCCTCTTTCTTCAGTCTGTCGGTTGACTTGACCCTGTGCGCAGTAGCCTTAGCCATGACTTCGTTTCTCTTTTCTTGCCGTTTGTGCCTGTGGACCAGTTTGGGGATGCGGACACGGTCACGGTTGCTATTTTTGTTGTTGGGGTGGGGAAGGGGGAGGCTTGTGTTCAACAGGTGACTCGATCTGACCCTCGCTTGGCGCTATGTCTGTGCCGTTAGCACCATCATCAGAACTCGATTGGTTATGGCGACGGTCTTGCTGCCCAAGGAACGCCTGGACGTTTGGAACTTTGTTTTGTCCGTTGTATCGTCCCCCACACTGGTAAGCTTGAGGGGCCAGGAGATAGTTTGGAGTGCGCATGGGCCGCCGATTAGAAACGTTCTCGCTGAATTAGGACTGACCGGCGTGAGAACTTAGCGTGCCGAATCCATGGTCCACCGTTAATTGCACTGGAGCAGACAGATTCCAAAGATGCCACCGAAAGAGTGTCCAGAGTAGATACGAGTGTGCGACCTTCTTTAGTACGTCAAAAGACATTCTAGGACAAGAGCGAGATGGACGTTTCAGAGCAGGACGGAAAGGTGTATCGTGACGAAGAACTTGACACTGATTCATAGGCTCATGCTGGACTTAAGGGATACTAGGGTTGGAGATGATTTTTGCATTCTGAGTGCCATACTTATTAATAAACACTTTGGTGACGCATGGCAATGAAGACAGGGTGGTTGAGCCGATACCAGTATTAGGTAACTAACGCCTCTATCCTACGCATCAGCTCATCATCATCGACAAATGAACCGCCGAAATAAACGGGAACTTATGTCATGTAATCCTCATCATCCTCTAAATATTTATCAAACACCTCCGCAGCGCCCGAAGCTGCAAAGACCCGGGCAACAGCTAGATGGAGATTGCAAATCTGAGGATCAGGTAATCCAATCAGATCGCCGCCAGTTCCCTTTCCAAATTCTATTTCGTCGCCATCCTTGAGAGGAATAGTGGCTGACACATTCGCCGGTCGAACCTCTCGAAAACGATATTTCCACTGCTTAACACGTTGTGTCAGGATGCGGACCATATAGCGTCAAAAACTCACCCTATGATCGACTAACCTGACCTCAATTCCCCAAGCTAGTGTCTTTTCCATTGATTCGTGGGCCGATAATCCGATATTGATGGCATTGGAAGGATGGTTTATGAATCGCTGGATAAACTCTGCTTTCACCGTCTGACCAGTGAATACCTCAATCGCATGATGTGTATGTGTCTAAATGACGTATAGATCAGTCAAAAAAATATGCCGGGAATTGTATCTACCTTAAAATGGGCGGAGAATGGGATGATGTGCGCGCAGCGGGGCCGTATAACCCTATCCTTCCCAAAGAAAGGATAATTGGAAACAGGGCAATGACTCCCATCGCGAAGAAAGATCTGAATAATGTTATCAGTGGATTTTCCAGTCGTGGCCAGCGGTAGTAAAAAATGTACCAGGTCTCTCAAAGCCGATTGACTCTGACAAATAGTGGCTGACTCTAACAATGATGTAATCTCCTCTATATGCTTAGGATTGGGTGTAGGGTGTATGCTCTCTTGAGGAGTCCTTTTTCCACCTGGATTCCTGACTTAGAACAACAGAATTTAGAGTCACAAGATTCGATGGAGATTGCGTCATACAAGCGATGACAAGGTGAGACAAGTAGTAGCTGGCCAGTGCCGTGAGACCCGTCGCATTTCCATCATTTTGGCCAAGTTCTTGATGCACAGTAGCTGCCCAATCATACGGACTAGCAGAGCGATCACCATCCAGGGCATGAACTTGAACAAAACATTCAATAAAAATTACTACGGTTATTTAAAGAAGGACATCGCCGAGATCCGTCACAACCGAAATTTTGCATTTTGCCAGCTCCACCAAGAATTCTCGAGCCATTGTTTGTGGAGATGGAGAGTGCTCTATCAGAGCCTGCAGAAGTTTGTGGGCTGGCACGTCGAAAGTCGAAGTTTCTGCCCCGACCCGTCTGGCAAATCCCAGTGGCGGATTTTCCACAGCATTGTATTGCCCCCCCCCATCAACACCAGGAGTTCCAGGACGTAAGACTCTAAAGGATGGTCTGGGATCATCACGGAGATGATGATGAAGGAATGAACTCGATCGAAGTTCTCCGGAGCCGATTTCACATCAGAGGTTGGCACTGCCGGATAGTTCCCTCGATCGATCTGTATGTGTTGTAAACGGAGCACTCATACCTTCTATAGAACTGGGGTCAATGTGTCATTAGTTATACATCAAAATGTAGTTGTGGTATTCGACAGGCTAGATATCACTCCCAACATGGTCTCGAAAAGCGTTAACACTCAAACACAACGGAGGCCCGTCACACGTAACACGTTGGCCCGGTCGTGTGGCGTCTCAAAGACCGAGCATCGCCAATAACACATAGGTGGAACCGTCCTCAGCGTTAATATCCCCGTTCCATCCTATCCACCCTTTTCCGTATCGCGTCATTGCAACAGGCACCAAATCTTTCTCGACAGGGTCAGGATCAAAGACGAAACTTTCAACACAAGAATCCTCTCCCGGACGGTACACTGCGTCGAAGGCCTCAACTCCAGAGAGACTGACAGCTTTCATCGAGTAGGAAGCTAGAAGTGACGCTGAGGCGGGAGATCCAAGTGCATGATGGAATCGTTGAAGAAAGTGAGTGCTGCGATAATAACCCCCAAGTCGCCATGGAAGACCAAGTTTCTCGCCAAAGAATTTCTTCATGCTTGAATCATTCATTTCGCTCGGAATCATGCACCCAAACACGACGCGCCCACCATTTCGCGCATAGGAGAGAAGAGCATTAAGGGCCCCCACAGACGTTTTCTTCTTGCAGATCGATGGCTCCACTACGAGCACTGCATGAGGTGGAGGAGACTGCGCCAAAACAGCGCAGAGGGCCCCCTTACTCCCGCAAGTTTGAACGAAAGCAGCGGCATTCAAGTCGTGAAGGAATGGTTGATAATAAGAACGTCCGGCGAGTTTCCAATCAGAGGGCCCGGCATCAAATAACGCGACCGTTGGACGTTTCTCGTCTTTTGTTCCACGAAGAGCGAAATTGAGATTGGGAACGCAGTATAACGGCACTAACTCACCAAGTCGTTTCGGCGGCGCACACACCTCAGTGCGATGCTCTTCCCAATCCTAACGAGGTGGCAAAACGCTTCAATATCGTAGAACTGCTGCACTCAGGGAATCACTAACCTGCTTCTGATGCACAGAGCTTGCTGATCGACGTTGGAAGCATCTTCCAATCCCTTCCGTCTTTTCGCAGCCTTGCAGCGAGCAAAGTCTGTGTGCCTTCATTCGAAAGACTGGACTGAGCAGCGTTGTAGTGTAGAGGCTCTTAGAGAGCGTCGAGAACGAGTTAAAGATCGAATGTTGAGCAGCTGTTTCCGTTGCCTTACGGAATGCAGGAGGGTTACAATGTTTGCCCAGATTTCGATGTATCAAACCACGCAAACCCCCAAGCCTCAAGCTATTATAACGTGTGGCACACAGCCAGGGCCGTCCGCCCTTCTGCGACCAAATATGACCACTCATCAACAGGCTCCCGTTGGTGCTGCTCCTAACAACCCCAAACCCACAGGAATGATGTGCCAAGACGTTCATAAATGTAAATGGTATTTAATTTCCCACGATGGTTGCTTGTACGTGTTGAATAGCACTTGAGTACTAGAGGAATCGATATCGATAACATTCAACTAAAGAGGTGTGTCCCTCAGCAAGGTTTCAGTTCTTTTCAGTTCTCCGTTGATAAAAAATTGTAACTTTTCACATTCGGTTTGATTGAGCGAAGGAGAGGAAGGATTGAATTCGTCAGCATGATCATCGGATCCAGAGGAAGCAACAACGAATGCTTGGGGAGGGTTGAATGTCATCATCTGTCATTAATTCAACCCAGTAGGGCAGGGCGGATGTGCACCACTTTACTGGCCCAACAGTAGGGAAAAGAACATGGCGGAGGAAATAACGGGGAGCGAACTGTATGTGTGATTTGAGACAGTGGTGTGCCTAACACGTCCAGGATGAGGAGTGGGGTGGAAAGACGCTATACCGGTTTCGAGTATACATTATTATGAAGTCATAGAGGCTGGAGTCCTGCCTAACGATGAACATCGTAGATACTGAAACAGTGGGAATCTGGACAGATCGATGCCAAAGTTGCATGTTGAATCGATTTCGCGGACAAGAGCTAGGTGCTCCGGTGAGACGTAAGAACGATGACAAAGAAAATAGTAGGAACGTAATGAAGAGAGAATATAAATGGAAAATAACCAAGCCGTCAGAAGTTACGTAATGTGGGCCAGGAAGCGAAAGCTACTATACTGGGGTTCCAATAAAGTGAGACTGCACGGATCAGGGGATATGTCAATGTTCTCTGTTCCTGGGTGCAAGTTGGCGGAGTGTGGCCAGGGTAGAGGCTGATCACCTACCTATGGATAGGGTGACTCGCCTCCGGACGTGCTATCGCATGGCATTCTAAATCAGAGGCGACACAAGGTTTGGGAACGAGACGCATCCATTTAGATGAGCATATATATATGAGGTCAGTCTTGGCAGTGAGTACATGGTTCACAAGCTGAAACGTGATAGTGTAATTGAGGTGCATGACTCTGACAATCCTAGAATGCCGTTGATCTTCAGTCGCGCTGCTTTGAGATGTTGGCATTCTTGCATGCCCTATTTATCTCAGGCACACCCATAAGAGATAGTCCATTGTTACTGTGTTAACGTCCTTGCCAAACACGAAGACATATTCGTGTGGACACGGGGCCTGCACCGGTGGATAGTTCTCTTTGTATGTGTTGTAAACTAGTACCTCCCATCAATGTATTAGTCATACAGAGGCATTCGATAGGCTAGATATCACCAACTCCCGACACTCATGACAAAACGACTGGCCTGGTTGTGTGACGTCTCAAAGACCAAGCATCGCCAATAACACATAAGTAGAACCATCCTCAGCATTAACATCCCCATTCCATCCGATCCATCCTTTTTCGTACCGCGTCATTGCAACAGGCACCAAACTTTGGTCGACAGAGTCAGGATCAAAGACGAAACTTTCAACATGAGAATCCTCTCCCGGACGGTACACTGCGTCCGAGGCCTCAACTCCAGAAAGACTGACAGCCTTCATCGAGTAGGAAGCTAGAAGTGACGCTGAGGCGGGAGATCCAAGTGCATGATGGAATCGTTGAAGAAAGTGAGTGCTGCGATAGTAACCCCCAAGTCGCCATGGAAGACCAAGTTTCTCGCCAAAGAATTTCTCTGCGATTGAATCGCTCATTTCGCTCGGAATCATGCACCCAAACACGACGCGCCCACCATTTCGCGCGTAGGAGAGAAGAGCATCAAGATCTTCCGCAAACGTTCCCTTCTTGTAGATCGAAGGTTCCACTACGAGCACCGCATGAGGTGGAGGAGACTGCGCCAAAACAGCACAGAGGGCCCCCTTGGTTCCGCAGGTTCGAACGAAAGCAGCGGTATTCAAGTCGTGAAGGAATGGTTGATAATAAGAACGTCCGGCGAGTTTCCAATCAGGGGGCCCGGCATCAAATAACGCGACCGTTGGACGTTTCTCGTCTTTTGTTCCACGAGAAGCGAAATTGAGATTGGGGACCTAGGACCCCAGTATAACTAACTCACCGACTTCTTTCGGTAGCGTACACACCCTGCGATGCTCGCTCCAATGCTAACGATGCGGCGGAACGCTTCAATATCGTAAAACTGCTGCACTGGAGGGTTACTAACCTGCTTCTGATGCGCAGAGCTACAATAAAGTGCGGATCGACATTTAGAGCAGCGTCGAAGCCCTTCTGTCTTTTCGCAACCTTGCAGTGAGCAAATTTTATCTACCTTCATTCGGAAGACTGGACTAGTGTAGAAGCTCTCGGAGAGCGTTGAGAACGAGTTGTGTTGAGCGGCTTTTTCCGGAATGCTGGCTAGTGTAACGTGTTGGCGCAAGGGTCATCCGTTTTTCTGCGGCCAGACGTGACCATTCATCATCAGGCGCCCATTGGTGCTGCTCCTAATGGCACCAAAACCATAAAAATAATGGTAACCATCGCGGGAAAATGCCTCACGTTCAAAATAGAACGAGTGTGTATGTTGAATCGAACAATTTACAAGTGGGTCCTCTCTAATATACATTAGTAGCCTAAATGCCTTTGATCTTACCGCGAAACTCGCTGGGACCGTCCGGTCCACAAGAGGGCGGTGCGAACTTGCCTTATGAAAACTCAAAACTACCAGGATGAGACTACCTTGAGCTGAAGAAAAGTTGATCGTGTGGGTGGCGACATGAAGCAACATCTACTTACGGATGGAGCCGTATATTGACATTTCCATTTGGGTTATTATTACGCGTCATGGAGACGATAGAGAATGATGATCAAGACCATAAGAAGTGGGGTTTTAAAGACTCTGGAGCAGTGGCGGCCCCAGTCCACTTGTGCAGGAGAACCAGAGAAAGCCCAGTATTACACTTCGGCATGATAGTAGCCCAGTTCAGCTGGATGTTTGTTGAGACGAGAATAGACGCCGTGCGCTGGAGCCCACAACGTAGCGAGTATCCATGGAAGCAATGGGAACTAAAACCTCGGTGGCAAGAATAGACGTCGTGCGCCAGTGCCCATGCAAGTGTCCGCGGAAGTAAAATGGGCGACCAGCGGCAGGTTCAACTGGCATCTGGCCTAATTGCACGGTCGTCGATTCTTAGTTTCAAAAACTTTGACCTAGCCGCTCCCGAGCTCCGTAACACGGTGCCTCCAGAAGCTCATTCCATCCCGCCAAAGCATGCCTTGCAATTACGCGAAAACATTATCCCACGTTATTTGTTTTTGTTTGCACCGAGGATTGACCAGACCTCTTCATTTACCAATAAGAAGAGGACTTGATAACACTTCCATCATCACGAAAACTGGACAGGCAACTGGAGCACCTAGAGCATGTGGGAGCGCCAGTCCGATGTTCGTGATCATGATGTGAACCTCAAAGCTCTAGCAGGAGTTTTAATGAATAGAATGATCCCCGGGGGAGTAAGCACCTTTATAGAGGCAACTCTCCTTACTAGATCAGCACCAGCAGCGCCGAAGATGTATTATCCAACTTCAGGTGCCCGGCCCGTCGTGTCTCAGTTCTAGGCTACAGGCCTGCCACAATTAGAGCAGGGTTCAGACAGTCGCAACAGGTTTATTATTACGGCCAGAAGCTACCAAAGAGATGCAAAAATGCCTCACCCCTTCAATTCGATAAGGATCAATCCATGAGCAAAGATGACTTTATAGTAGCAAAAACTCTTGTTAGGAGCCTCCATGCTGGGACATGAAAAGATCTGTTCAAGCAGATTATTTCACAGTGCTTTGATCGTCACTCTACGGATTGAGGCTTGTGCTTGCAGCCTCTAATAGACTATATACACGCATTGTGTATGTTGCCCCTTCCACACCGGCACGGCCGCCTCATCACGACGTCACGCCGGTGGCGAGCCTACGCTGGTCCTCTAGAAACAATCCCAGGGCTTGCTTGGTTGACAGGTAAAACGTATAACTCGGCAATATTGACGTGAGGAGGCCGAGATGCGGCCCATACAACCTCTTCAGCGACATCTTCGGCGACCACTGAAACTCGTCAACCTATGCTCCGTTGATCGTTGTACACTCGGAACTTACGTGGTTCCAACCCTTCGTAAACTTTGTCTGCTGCTGTTTTGTTCCCCCGGTAGCGAACGACGGAGAATTCTGTCCGTGAATTGACATCCCATCACATCAATATCGTCAGAAGTTGGCAAGCGGACAAGATGACAAGCTTACCGGTCTCGACCAACCCAGGCTGGATTTCCGTAACTCGGATGGGAGTATCTACAACCTCACGGAGCAATGATCCCGTAAACGCTTTTACGGCGTGCTTTGTAGCACAATAGATCGCTCCGCCCGCGTACGGCTCCCGCCCCGCAACGCTGCCAATATTGATGATATGACCAGATCGCTTCTGCTTAAAATCTAATCCGGAGCTCTCAAGCCGACCATGCCCGCAATGGATTTGATGGCAAATGTACCTTTGATCAAGAGTTGAGTCACCGCGATCAAGCCGAATACGTTCGTATTGAACATCGCTTCCATGTCAGTCTCAGCGATCTCCCCGACTTTCTCCACTCCCAGTACGAATCCAGCATTGTTCACTGATCTCATTACACAGATTAAACAAACGCGATATAATCAATGCCCGTCCAAGATGAGCAAAGAGGGGAAATGGAATCAGATGACTTACCTAAAATGTCCACATTCCTCAGGTCGTTCGGTACTTTTTCCCAGAGCTTACCGACTGCTACTCGATCCGATACATCGAGCTGAACTGTAGCGAACTTTCCTCCAGCTTGATGACCGGATTGTTTGTGCGCTGCTTCACACGCTGCAGCTACGTTCTTCAGGGCTTCGGTTCTGCGAGCTGCGAGAATGACGTTGGACCCAGCCTACAATTATAAATAATAGTGAGGGTTGGATCATGGGGAGTTAATAATATCGATATCTCATAAGGGAAGCGAAATGCCCATCGACAATTAATGTGGAGTCGAAGCTTCCCAGTAGTCGTACCGACTCGGTAGTGCAGCGAATTGAAATGCGAAATTGATATCGCGATAGCTTATCAACGTACCCTTGCAAAGAGAACAGCCGTAGCCTACATGACAGGAGATACGACGGGACATTTAGTGTTCCGCCATTAAGCCGTGGAATGCAGCCTGCATGCGCGATCCCAAGAAACTCACAGCACCAATTCCTCCCGAGGCACCGGTGATCAGGACAATCTTGTTTTGTAATCTAGCAGCATTAAATATCGCAGCCATCTGTTGACAAATTATTATTGTGTGGGTGTACAGATGCGTGAACGAGCCAGCGACGGCTTCCAGGGATGGAATCAATAAAGTGGAAGTCACAATCGCGTGACTGTCACGTAACTGTCACTGTGCTTGATCACTGATCGCTCGTCCCTCCGTTCTTGTTGGGTCAAGTGCCATGAATAACAGAGCTGTGACAAGAGAAGGTGGAGACAAGTGGGATCAAAGAGGCTGAAGTTGCTGTGATGGGGGTCTTTTTTCCCTGGACGTTGTAATTTGATTTGGGGGTCCATCTGATCTGTGATTGATCTTACGATTCCCCTCGACATTACAGCTCCCTTCATCCACACTGTACGGAAAACTTGACAGCTCGCCGCAGGAAAGAGCATCAGAGCCAACATCATCGATGCACCGAATTTCCTCAAGGCGGTAAGTAGCGCAACATCATGGTTTTCAACACTGAAGAATCGGGTTGCATCGCGCGGGACACTATGGCGCGATTAGAGGTGTGTGCGTTTTCAAGGAAAAAGGAGGCTCTTGTGAGCTCGCCAAGTCCTTCCTTATGATCTTCAGAGCTATCCCAGCGCACCATTGGTCATGGGGGATACCCATGACGATGGAACTTCAGTCTCTTCGGAGCTTGTTTCCGAATAGGCGTTTACTCCCGCGTTGCACGCCCAGGATGTAATTCTGGGGTATATTTTACAAACAGGTACCCCATTAACCATCTGCATGGTACGCACCGGCTGGATGAGATAGGCGCTTTTGTTGGGGACGGACATCCTGGCTCCTCCCGTGTACAGATTGTCAGACTCAGCAAGCGCTCCAAGGCATTATCAATGACACCATTTTGAATCGCAGGTGTCTGCGAAACTTATTCCCTTGAATCTCTTGGAGGGTTTCACGTCTGCTTCGAGAAATGAGCCGGTCCGACCAGAATGCCTGAGAGATAGTCCGTAATGATATTGATAAACCGCACGTTCTCTGGCTGTGGACAAGTGGCACCTGCCGCCCAAACTGTGTCCTCGCTGCAGCCATGCGTCCGAAGAGATGTACTCACATCAACCCATGTACGCTCGAATTAGATTATAAGTAGTATCGCCAACCATCAAATCGTTGCCCGCGTTCCCAGTCAATGCTGAATGTGATTGATGATCGGGGGGATTAGAATGATCCTTACAATTTATCTCTCGCGACTTAGGCCCTATCATACACGAGGAGACGTGTTTGTCGCTGGTCGCTTAATTGAACATCCGAAATCGTGGAGTGGTGTGGATGAGAGTATCAATCGATTATCTTTCACCCTTCAACCCGTTCCATCAGTGGCAGGGGTCATATACGTACTATATCCGGACTCGTTGAGGCCATCGCATGGGGAAGGGCAGCACCGAATCTTCCGCTTCTGCTTTTCCTTATTGGTGTTGCATCGTTCCTGTGGAAAATCATTCAACACGAGGGTATTTGGATCGAGGCAACCTTACCTCGCTCTCCCGGAAAATTTGGGGCCATTATTCTTGCCATACGTCATCGCCATGAGGGGAATGGCCAATGACGTTGGTCGATTCTACTATAACTGCAAAAGGTAACATTCAATTCGTGGGCAATTTCACTACCTAGAGATCGCTCGGACATCGCGTCTTCCGTGTACGAGTCTCTTTTGTTCAGCCCCGAGGCTATCGATCTCCCGCATGTATGCTGATCACTCAACCCCATATTACTATTCATTTTCACGTTGCGTCGACCTTGTCATAATACCAACAATTAAGTAGGGTGGCAAGGGGCTGAAAGCTCAGTTGCGAACTATCATTTTGGGAAGTGCGTGGTACAGTGTTCCCGCATTTGGTCATGTACAATTCGGCGTATGCCGAGAGACAAGCACCTCGAAATTTTCTGCATCATCAGCCTCGACCGCAAGGCATTTCTGGACGTTGTGTGTGCGCGTGTCTGAGGCCAAAGTCTTGGCCTGCACTTCATAAATACATACCACTTCTGGACGATTCACCAAACGCTGAGGTTGCATCTTTATCAGTTGGCATCAGTGACCACTTCGATATCTGATCTTCTGATCGAGCGAGCCTCCGCTCCGGATGCTCGTAAGCGAATGCAGGATGAGTCTGTTCTCCGCCCCTAAAATGCGTTCTCACACTAGTCAGTAACCTCAGCATCCGGAGATACGCTGTTACAGACTTTCGGTCCCCGCAGGCTACCCATGAACACTCATTACCTCGCTGGGCTTGGTGGCTGGAGGGATCAGGATGCTTCCCGCGCAAGCGCCTAGGTTTTCCGTGCGCGCCACAAGCTATATCTTGAAGGCGCATCGACGATGTGTTGTTGACAATGCCAACAGATGAGGTTCTCTGAAATCAACTAGTACTACTTCGGACCTCCTGAACTTGACAGCTTTATCATCCACAGAATGTACATTCGCCCTCAGCCCACAAAAGCCAATAACCATTCTAGGGCAACATGAGATCCATTGTTTGCCTCTTATCCGCAGTCTATCATCACTAATAATAGTAATGAGTGGTCATTCAGTGATTCTCCAGCTAACGCCCCATCCGCCAGGACTGTTTCGGACCTTCCCGACATCCGAGTACTTGTCAACGATTGTCTAATTTAGCTATTGCGACCTTTGTTTCTCGTGCTGTACACGAGCGTGTTGTTTCATCTTGCATAGTCCCCGCTGCCCGTGCAAGACCAGTTTTGAAGCGCCCCAGATGGGTTGCTCTTGTTGCCTCACAACAAGCGAAACTCAATTTGGCAAATCCATTCAGTCCTCTGAATGATAGCTTTCGACCTAGGGGTTTATGGTCGTGCAATCGCGATCGACCATTATTGTGTTTGCCGAGCCGCTTTTGTACTGGTTCTCATACACAGCCCTCGAGGCTGAATGAATGTTGATTCCCAATCAGCTCCGCGGAATCATCACGCGCACGATGCTTGTATGGATTTGCATGATTTCGTTGTGCTATGATATTCCCCTAAATTTGGCCTGGCCTTGGTTAAAATACGCCGCCTCTTCATCGAGCAGCTCCATAACCTTTTGCCCAACCGCCTCTCACATCCCTATCCCTCACCACTTTTCTCATCCTAAACCTACGGAACACTTATAACAGAGGCTTCAAACCATTATCTTGGAGGCCAACAATGCGTTATCTGAACTTCGTCATCAACCACGTGTTCATGCCACCTAGGCTGCCTCAGAAGGCGGACAGGCCAGAGTGCATAGGTGATCTTCTGTCGACCGTCTACGACGCAATCGAGATTTACAGGAAGAAGTATGCTACGCCCGAGCACGAAGCGCTGTGGGGCGTTCTGTCAAAAATGGTAGATACGCTGCGACAGATTAACGAGCGCCCGGCGGGTGGGATCCGTGAGTGTGTCGAAAGCATGCATCCCGGAGGTAGGTTAGCTAGATTGCTGAGCTTAAATACTGGCAATGACACCGAAATGAACGCAGACACCATCGCCATTTTCATTCGTGCCCAAAACGCGGGTGTTATGATGCGTTGTGGCGAGGATAATACGATATTCGAAAGTTTCGAAGTATCACCAAGGAATCAAGACGTAATGGCCTGCACCGGAAAGCTTGTCCGTTCCTTTCCCGGACCTGCCATTGCCGTTCAGAACGACATCGTGCAAGATCCGGCTTTTTCCGAAGAATTGGCAGCATTCCTAACTCAGATGGACGGGGATTCATTGGAAGCCGCCCAGGTTATGACCGATACGACCCACCCCCGATACATAACAGAATTGCTGACCGGGGTGCTGTATGGACTAGGAAAGCCTGCAGATATTCCTCGTATCCGGAAGAGGACGTCGGATGACGTCTTGTGGGATAGTGCTCACCTCCCATGGAGGCGTAGTCCCATCTGGCTCGTCGTTCGTGTCGCCTTGCAAACTACGATTCACCGAGAAACTTCGAGCATGAATGAATACAAGTCGTTTATGGTGTTCTTTCTGGCTGAGATTTTGCGTCTTGGTGTCAAGGAGTCTTTGCCAGGTCACCTCCTTTATTGCATGCGTGCTAAACTCAGCCGTCGGCTCTTTAAAATCCGGTCATTCGTAGATCCGACTCTTGTCACCGATGTCCATGAGGTCGTTGTTGATACTGAACGGCTTCTCCAAGAGCGATGGAAGGCTGTTCAAGATGCGCAGGCGCGAGCACCGGAGTGGGCGCCAGACGAGTTAGATGTGGTCGGGGATACTAGCCTCACCCTGACAAACGCCGGGTCCTACATCAGTGCTGCTCTTGCCCCAATGGCAGCTGATGATGCCAACGCTGAATTTTCCCCGGACCATTACCCACGGCTATGTGATCTTCCCTTCGAAGACTTGCCCAGAAATCTTCAAAAGGCCGTGGATGCCGATGGATACATTGCGTTGTGGGATTTCGAGTGTTGTGTGCAGGATCGCATCGACAACTGGGTGCACTTTCATACTCGCCCAGTCAGTCGCGAAAAGGCCTGCGGCATACTATCTGATTGCATGACGACGTACGCTCAATACGCGAGCAAACTGTATGCGCGGGTTCCGGAGCAACAGTCGGTCATGCTGCTCACTCTCCTTGAACTTTGGAGGGCCCTTGATATTGTGGCGCTGAAAAGCTGTCCTCTTTTAAACGACTATTCTCCCGAGATTCCCCTTACTCTTTATGAGGCGCTCCTACTTCGGAAGGCAAAACCCCTGGAACGCATCTTCAGTATTCAGATGTATCTACGCGATCGCTACCGTAAAGCTGGTCGTATTCCTCGATCGGTTTTCTCGGAGGTCATCGACGACAAGACCTTCGCAGTCAAATTCTTTAACTCGTCTTTCCTACTCCAGGAACTGAAGTTGCGTATAGAGGAGCAAGCAAGGGCGAAGCGATGTCAAAAGCTTGAGGAGCTTGAGGAGTTGAATCGTGAACACGGAAGAAAGATGGAGCTTGCACGATTTGAGGCTGGGTATACAAGTAATCATCGACTAACTTCCTTCTGTAGACTCCCTTGATCACAGCTTTGTCAGCGATACGAAGCACGATAGTAATTGCCGAAAATGCCGATACGAACGGCAGGCGGAAGCTATGACGATAAACATTCATGAATGGCCGCTTCCGGAGGATCAGATGCGGGCCGAAATTGCTGTGTTCGAACTGGCAGTTCCTCAGGTTTTCAAGACTTGGAGGAGAACGACATATTGGCTTCTCTACGATATCTGTACACCCCCTCTCCATCGGGAAAAAGTATCCCCATCAACGACTCTAGAAAGTTATGCTTCTCTCAATAGTCTCTCCGAGTTCCTTGCCGCTGACTCCCAACGCCGTATCTCATTGGCATCCCAAGAGAAATCCTTCTTGAAGTCCCATTATAAAGTCGTGAAAATCCCAGCCGATGGAGATAAGGTCTGCCTCCGGAACGCACTGTCATATCGACTATGGGACGAAAGTGAGGAGACTTGGGTACATCCTCCATCTGAAAACTCCAGTCTTGGCCATAGGACGACCACACAGACAACGCTACTGTCACCTTATCTTTCCTTGGAGCGATTTGGGAAGGGAACTTTCCACACTTCAAATGATATTCTTGCGAGCCAGCATCAATGTCCACAGTCGCTCAGCCTCCACGAGTTCATTGCATTCGGATCGTTGCGCGCCGGGGCTCGGTTACAATGGTACAATATCGCTCGAGAGATCCCCTCGAGAAACCTCAGTTTCAACCGGGAGGAAGTTTATGACCTTATCTCTCGGGCCGCGTGCCAAATTGGCTGTGTTTCCGATGACGGTGTCTGGGAGTGGCATGCGTGTCTGCAAGATGAGCGGTTTGGTGATGTGTTGTTGGACGTCCTTGATCAGCTAGGAACGGACATCGAAGGGAACTGGAACCAGAGTGTCACGGTACTGACGATCAATGCTCTAGTTTCTCGACTGTTGACTTCAGTCGTAGAGGGATCGGTCGTTGACAAAGCGTACAGACTGCTACGGAAGATCCGGGACATCACTATGTGCTGGTTGCATGAACTTACTGCGCTTCAGTCGGAAGTTGAACGTGAATCCGAACGGGACAAATATCAAACAGCAATATGCCGAACAGCTGCGACTTGTAGGAGTACTTTTGACGTCGATCCATTCCATGCTGGTCCTTTGCTTCAGACTTCAGAGGATGTCGCCATTTTCATCGAATGCGCTATTATTGTCCAAAACTATTCTCCCAAAGACATTTCCAGTGCAGATCCCCATCTGTATCAATTGCTTCTTCAAGATCAGCGTCTAGCCTGCAGCATGGAGGAACTCCTACTTACCCGAGTGCTCGAAAGGGAAACCATGCAGGGTATTAGCAGCGCGATGAAAAGCATTTGGAGCAGCTTCCACTCGACATGTTCCTGGAGAAGGTTGCCAGAACCTAATGATCGCTGGTTGACCACTACCGTCGTCGGTGAACGAGCTCAGGCCGTCTACTTCAACGTATTGAGTGGCACTTTGCTCATTGATGGAGAACTACTTGGTCGATTGCCACCTGAAATGGTGGGGCATCCGATGTATAAAGAACTTTTCGGTGAGGTACGAGCCATTTTTACCTGCGGTAGGACTCGTCGTTTATGATTCGCTCGCAGAAAAACTTGGATGTTGTGCCCTCGGATATGATCGGAATGAAATATGTTACTAGAGCCAGTGTATCCTGTGCGGAAGATGGTCGCCAGGTTAGTTCACAACGGGCTAATATTGGAGCCAATGTTCACCTCCAAGCAGATAATTCATTTTGCTTTGCGAGATAAGGAACTCATTCTGCGAAGTAGATTCCCCACGCTTGGTGGGGAGAACTGCCGGGTCTCGGAGTTACTACCACGCAAAATTTTTAAGGATGACCTCCCGTCTATTCTAGTCGATGATTGTCTTCACTGGTTGGAATTATCTACATGTCAAGTTGAGCTGCGGCCTAAGGAAGCACCCTGGAGATCTTCGTCATCAAATTGGTACTTGCGCCGTAATACGTGCTTTTCGTGGACCATGGATAAAGAACCCTCCATCGAACTGGTTGACTGTCGAAGCCGCACGGCGGAAATGATTTGTGCCATTCTCCGACCACTGGATGCTTCAAACAACGTTCTCATCATGAGGTCGTCAATGCATGAACTCCTAGTCAATCTTCCCCGGCTCCAGCTTTCCTTCACCCTGAAAGGCGGGAGGCTCTGTTCACTGGACATCCCAGGCTTCGAAATAGATCATGAGAATCAATCAACAGGAACCATGCTGGGCCTTCGGAGTCAACTTGCTCTGCGCCAGAGTGGGGATCGGCTAGCTCATGTCGCAGAGCCGGGTTATTCTAGGCGTGTTATCATCCCCATAGGACGTGCATTGATCACAGGAGATGGCGATCACGTTGCTGTTACCATCGATCACTCAGGATCGCGTCGTGTCCATTATTGTGATTTTGATGTCGATACCTTGCTCGGCCGTTTGGTCGGAGACGGGAGCTTATTTAGCACGCTGTTCCAGGCGTACCTTCATGCCATTACCAGTTACTGCCTGTCCGATCCACTCACATTTGTGTCGGGGATCGAGGAAGGGCTTCAAATCCTTCGCTCGGCGCGTTGCAAATCGTTCCAAAGCCTCAACGACCCGGAGCGTGAGCTTCTACATCAATTGTCGGCGTTGACACCATCAAGGAATTGGTATCCTCCACATCTACAGGTGATGCAACAAACAGCCTGGAACAAAGCGCTTAGTCCCATTGTTCAACACGATGCCTTCTGGAGAGAAGCTCAGTCAATAATAATGTGGGGTGACCAGATGCAGCTCTTCTATCCTGTCGTGAGCATCGGTGACAGGCACGATACGAGACAACCCCATCTACTATCTCGAGCGGGTTACCGCAACGCGGTCTGGTACGGTGCTGGCGTTCCACGGGATGTGAGCGTCGACACGGTGTACGAGTCTCGGGACGCTGCAAACGGACTTGACGTCACTAGGATTCGTGATACGGCAAACGTTTCTAAGGTGTGCCATTGTCCTCATCCGCTAAAGACCCCGGACAATCTATTATCTCACATCAAATCATGGAGAGAAGAAATCGTGGGCTGTTCGACTGACGACTCGTCGGGTGTACGTCTGGGATATAGCAAAGAATGGCTGTCTTTGAACATGCCGAACACATGGATTCCTTTGTACGATGCTTGTCGATCGGCTGGGTGGGTGAACATCCTGTTCAAAGCGGCTTTCAGTTTTTCAGCAATGGAGTATTCTGGTCATCAGTCCAAAGAACTAATCTCTGCCTTTCTCGCGTTCGCACGCTATCCTGAGTTCTGTTCCATCAATCCACCGTCATGGCCGCGGTACAATTTCACGATGGGTTGCATAGCGTCTGCGTCGCAACTCAATAGTGCCGTCATGGAGTTCGTCACTCGTTTCGAGGACACACAGACCTACCATACATCACTTTCTGAGGGCATTTTTGGTCAACGCCTGAAGGAATACCGCGCCCAAGTATCTTCTGAGGTTTCGTCATTCGTCGCAAATTTAACTGACCAATGGGATCATGGGCCCACGAACGAACCGATCTTGCCGAGTACACGGGACAGCAATCAACACCTGATCGACACCTCGCTTGCCATGGTTAGAGTGACAGAGCTGTTCCAATCATGGTTCAGAAACTGGGAACTGTGCAATTACATCCGGCAAGTCCAGAGGGTTTTGGACAATCGTCGGGCTCAAGATGCTCCGGCGCTGCCTATATACTCGTTCCGGACCTCTTTGCGAGCGGAAGAAGTGCGACCATCCTTCGTGTCATACTGCGATGTGTTTCTTCGGCAACCTCCAAGCCCCGCGCCTCCGCCTTTCAGAGCGCCCTTAGACCACGACAATATCAAGAGACTCGTTTCGACTCTTCATTCCTCTGCAGATCCACTGTTTCGAAGGTACGGAAATTACCTCACATCTAGCTGGGATGCTCTGCAGAATGTCGGCGTGGGGCCAGCGGAAATCCTTCAAGAAGACCAATTTCGCCGCGCTCATCAGATGTGCGAAACCCATCTCTCCTGCACTTTGGAGCAAATCAAACAAGCAATGGATCCAGATGCTAGCCTTGAGGCACCACAAGAGGTCATGCGAGTCGCCGGACTCTGGCCGAAGACCACTATTCGCTCGCTACTGTGCCACCTATCAGCCTCACCGCACTCAAGAGTTGACCTTGCCCTTGGGTGGAAAAATGCCTTCGTTTGCCTTGCCCATTCCATACTGCTTTTGCAGCGGTGGCAGAGATTGATTAGATTAAGACACAAACCTGATGAATTCTTGAAGGAGTATCAAAATAATACTGATTTACGTGACATTTCGGATAGATTAGACTGGTTGTTGGTCCAGGTGAGTATGTCAGTTCTTTAGCGTAAATGATGGTATCAACTTTTTGAGTGCGTTAGATTGACTCCAACTTTCTTATTCGTCCTGTTCAAGTTGAGGTTGCACGCAACATGATGTTTCCTCGATTGCAGGACAACACTATCTTTCAACTTAATATGGGGGAGGGAAAGTCGTCCGTTATCGTTCCGCTGATTGCCACCTCTCTGGCGGACGGACAAAAATTGGTGAGAATCATCGTACCGAAACCTTTAGCGAATCAAACGTTCCAGTTGCTGGTCCGGCGCCTGGGTGGCTTGGCCAATCGGCGGATATATTGTGCACCCTTCTCCCGTGCCATCGCCGTAAAGGATGAGCTACTCCAAAGGATGTATCATGAATGCATGCAGACTGGTGGTATATTGGTCATGCAGCCTGAACACATCCTGTCGTTCAAGCTCATGGGCATATATCGACAAATCTCCGCTAAAGCACCGGACAACATCGCACCAAATACGCTATTGGAATTACAACGATGGCTGGATGCCAACGTTAGGGACATTTTGGACGAGAGTGATGAAATCCTAGCGGTCAAGTACCAACTCATCTATACATTCGACGCCCAGGAGCCTCTAGAACATTATCCTGACCGATGGACCGTGGTGCAATATGTTTTTTCTGTCTTGAGTGGCAACACTCAAATCCTTGAGGAACTGGTTTCTCATGGAGGCATCGAACTTGTGCAACGACGATGCGGATGCTTCCCTCGCCTTCGCATTCTCAAACGCGAAGCTGGAGATAAACTTATACACGCACTTGTGCATGGAATAATGACGGGGGGATCTCCGGATTTACCGCCACTGAGGCTGCTTCGTGGTAGGCTGCGGCAAGAGGCAATGGCTTTCATCAGCGAAAGGTATCCCGGAGAGCTCCATGAATTGCGAAATCACTACCATGGCAATGGTCACATATGGAACACTCTGCTCCTGTTGAGAGGCCTTTTTGCGTACGGAATACTCGCATACGTTCTCGCTGAACGAAGGTGGCGAGTAGACTATGGACTCGATCTCACACGGTCACTTCTCGCAGTCCCTTATCGTGCAAAGGATGTGCCTGCACCAAGGGCGCAGTTCAGTCACCCGGACGTCTGCATTTCGCTGACATGTCTCAGCTATTACTATGGCGGTTTATCTCATGATCAACTGGATACGTGCTTCGAACTTCTTCAACAACTGGGGGATCCTGAGACAGAATATTACAGGTGGATAAAAGACAACTGCTTGGTGCCTCAGTTCCGGGATTACAGCAGTTTCAATCCAGATGATCACAGACAAAAAATAGACCATCTCTATCCAGCTTTTGAGAGAAACCAGGCGACAATAAACTTCTTCCTCTCTCATGTTGTTTTTCCAAGGGAGGCCAAAACGTTCCCGCAAAAACTTTCCACATCTGGTTGGGACATCGCCGAACGGAGACAACATGTAACCACAGGGTTCAGTGGGACGAATGACAATCGCGACCTCCTCCCCACTTCTGTTACGCAAGATGATATCCCCACGCAATCAAGCACGAATGTGGAGGTGTTGGATCTTATCTTCCGACCGGAGAACAATCATTACCGAACTGCAGACAGCAGCGAATTTCTGGACCTCGTCGTTGAGGAAACTCCTCAAATCCGAGTTCTGTTAGATGTAGGCGCTCAAATTTTGCAGTACTCCAATAAGGAACTGGCATCGATGTGGCTTTCGCGAATCTCAGAGGCAGACGCAGATGCTGCGATCTTCTTCTCTGATGATGACGAGATCCACGTTATCAAGCGCGATGGAGAAACGGAACGATTTATTTCATCCTCATACAGATACCAGCTTGACCGTTGCCTCGTGTATCTTGACGACTCCCATACGAGAGGCACTGATTTGAGATTGCCCATTAATTATCGCGCAGCAGTTACATTGGGTCCGAAAGTGACAAAGGATCGATTGGTTCAGGGTGAGTCTTTTCAATATTGTGATCGAATCGTATTAGCCGACGCGGAAACGTGCGTTTTTAGGATGTATGCGAATGCGCCAGTTGGGGCGGGGGCAATCTGTCATATTCTTCGCACCTCCCGATGTGGATCGCGCAATTCACAGGGTCTCTGCCAAGGAGAGTGAAGGACAAATCACTGCATACGATGTCGTTTTTTGGTCCATCACTGAGACATGTGCAAGCCTACAGCGCTATAGCCATCACTGGAGAGAGCAGGGCGTTCATTACACTGACAGGCGATGCGCATGGGAAACGTTTTGGTCATCTGGTGCCAGTGATACCTCCGAGCTGAAGAAGTATTGGTTGCAACCCGAGTCGAAGTCTCTAGAGGAAATGTATGGACCCGTCTCGCCTTCGGCAAAATTGGGACAGGAATCACCCCACCACCCGGAAGCTGACTGCAGAGAAATCGAGGAGAGGAGTCGTCCATTCTCATTCTCTAGGGAAAGTGGGCTAGCAAGACTAGAAGAAGAGGAAGAGCGCGAGCTAGAGCTTGATCTTGAACGAGAGCAACAGATTGAGAGACCACGATATTTACCCCCTGCCGTTCATCGTCTGGACGACAGTGTCGTCTCATTTGTGCGGAGCGGTCAAATCCGGCAAAATTCCCCTCCTTTTGTCTTGCTTTTCTCCTCAGTCGTGGTTCCAATCCCACTCTCACAGCAAAGCACTAGATGGTCACGGAACCTATTTGCAACCAGAGACTTCGTCACCACCATCAAGGGTTTGGGCACAAAGGACAGCATCGAGTTCCTTCGACCAGTCAACTGGATACTGTCTAGTAACCGCGACTCGACGCTTGTAGTTTGCAGCCCTTTTGAGGCGAACGAGTTACTCCCTGAAATTCGTGGCAGCTCCAATACTACACTGCATGTGTACTCCCCAAGAACGGGTCAGTCGATGAAGTCTTTCGATGACCTCAAATTTTACACGATTCCTTCACGGACGACTTGGCCACACCCTGAAAGTCTCACGATTTCGCAGCTCAATATATTTTCAGGGCAGTTATACTTCAACGACTTCCATACATATCTCGAAATTTGCAATTTTCTGGGAGTGAATACTACTCATGACGAAGGCAACGAGATAGCAACAGAAGGCGATGGCTTCATCCTACCTAAAAACCGCACTGGGGAGACGAGTTTGGTCTGTCCATTCGATATCAGCCCTCTGCCATTCATTAACAGGCTAACAAGTGCCCGGAGGAAAGGTGAGTTCTCCCCCCCCTCCCCCAATGTTCGAAGAGTAACTATATGACATGACATATTCAAGGGATGCCCTATACGTCCACTCATCTTGGGCGAATTGTGAAAGGAGCGTTTGTGCGAGAGGAAGAATTTTGACAGAATATGTACTACTAATTCTCACTTTCTCCAGTTGTGTTAGATCAACATTAACAATACGCAGGAATGGATCCCGTTAGAGGAACTTAAGGGATGAGGTTGACGACCACCCTATCCGTGACCCTCTCAGTTGACGTGTACTCCGTAGCACATTTATATATATACGTTGAGCTGTCACCGCTAGGAAGAACAAATGCACGAGTAAGATATAAGATATAGGGGAGAGTTATCTAATGGGCTCGATGGGATGGTCATCATTCGACTTGTGCGTTCCGCCAGCAGCACACAACCCGCTCGAGAGTAGAATGGCTGACGTTGTTCCGATTTTACACTGCTATGATACGACGGCACGACTCTTGAGGCGCTGTTTTTGGTTGTAAAAATTACGCTACTTGACGGTCTCGCTGGCCCTTTTTGGACCACCGAAAGTCATTTCAAGCCATGTCGACAAAGTCATCTTTGAGTTTATTAGCGGCTGGTTCGCTACTCTTCAAGTAGGGACCTCACCTTGACAAACGTCAAAAGTCGAGTTTTTGATCAACGTTACCCCACAATGGGCAACTCATCACGGTACCAGGTCTGAACCTTTTTTCATGCGCACAGTCATCCTCTTCGCCGAATGCCTTTCCCCTTGGTGGGTGGCGCAGGCAGAAATTGGTCGACAAGGGATAAGCCGCCGGGCATCCTAAGTACTCAGGGTGAGCAGAGTTGAAAGGACAGTAACCCCTCCGATGAAGTGAATGGTAACGCCATGCATAGTGGACCTGTTGTAATCTCCGCAAAAGCACTGAATGGGGTTGTTGCCTTAGTTGGAGCAAGTCCATGCAATTTTCAGGGGTGCATACAACATGCATATGGCGGGGACGGACTGTCAGTTCGGCCCAGGCTGTGTTCGCCGAATCCAAAGGTAGGAAGGGAGGGAATCGAGTGGCCGAGTTCTCTAGGCTCACCATGCAGCCTGAACGCTTTATAAGCGCGTACTCATACCAGCGCTATGCTAAAAAAGAGGGAGATGTTGGTGGGGGCAACTGGTACGTTAGCCTCCCCGCGATATTATACTCTCCAGGCATCGCTAGTGCGCTATCGACGCGATCGGTTTTTTTTTTCTTTCTTTTCTCCTAACGTCAAACCTGCGAGTGCAACTGCGCGATGATGATTCGGTAGTTAGAGAACCCGAACTGTGCATCAGGATTTTACATAAATGTCGACACCCACACCCCGAGCTTTTTCGTGATTACCATGTACTTGTGGCTTCCAAATCTCGCACATGGTACTAGAACCGCAGTTGTCAAAAATGACGATACCGCAGCCTGCTAAGCATTACATAATGATCACCACCCCCGACTTCTCGCATTATTGTGAGAGAAGACGTCAGTTGTTGGTGCTCCCGACCGGAGCGGAAGAGGTTCGATGAAGTATGTATATAGAATTATACCAGCGAACAGCTCGAACTAGAGGATAGGAGGCAACACTAATCACCACCCGTGTAACAACGTTTGCATCATGCTAGCATAGGAGATTTCTCCCATGCCGTCAAGGCTGGATTGGCCGATGGACCCATGGGTAATCTTTGAGCAATACCGGGGTCACCAGTACTAACGGCGATATTTCGTTGCATGGGGGAATTAGCCACCAACACGGTGTGTGTACGTGTGTACTAGTACACGGGGATTAGTGAGAACGAAAAGTTTTTACCCATCGAACGAATGCGTCACAGAGATAGATACTGTTACTGGAGTCTCACGATCATGCCATGCCATGTGAGCCGGCTATTGTGTACGTATGGGAGCCATAGCATTTACGATCTTCCAACTGAGAATCGCGCCGAGGTTGACTATTGTGAGGTGGCCGCCGACGCTGTCCAGCCGGGCTCAGGGGAAGAATTAAAAGTAGGTAGCTTATCTCTGGTGTACCCCTTGTGAGAGATAACGGATGCAGCGTGTGGGTGCGGGTTAACGATAGGTCTGTGATAAGAATCTCTATATATGCATATATATGTGTATAGAGGGGAGTGTGTGTGTGCGTATGAGAACAGGGGAGTGATAGAGTGCATGATCACCATTTCGATTACTCGTTGTGCAGAGCGGAGGCCTGGAGGCCGATCAGGCTGTACAGTCCCGAACTGCTATAGGGTTGAACCAGATGAAAGAGCTGTGTTTGATGGCTTCATCTAGATGTTGCGTTACATAGCGATATTAATATGAAAGCGGGACTAGGCGGTGTCAAGGGCGCTTAAAAGTTGTTGACAAGTCCAGGTTGGTTTTTGCGCTCTGAAAGAAACACGGAGGGCGGCGCCGCGTGTCAGGGAGATTCCAGTATTTTATGTACATAAATGACCGGAAATTCGAGACCGGGGTGAAATGTTTGCAGGGAAAGGTTCAAATGGGAAAATTGAATTGGAAAGCCTGAAATAAGTAAGGGTTTGGCGGGTTTTTGGATTGGAATTTCCCAAGCAATTTTTTTTTACCCCTGCCCCAATCTCTCAATAACTAGTTATGGTCTTTTTTTTCTCTAAACCCTCCACGTCCTCTCCCCCACCTTTGACTCACTGATAGTCCTATCTATCCTCTGGGGCTTGCCATCAAAACCCTCACTCTCATGTCAACAGCTGCTGCTGCGATGGTCGCGGCGACTACCCCGACTCACAAGTTCACGAACGGCTACGATCATCCTGACACTACTACTACTACTACTGGCCATTCCTCTGGCGGCAAGTACGAAACGATCGAAACGACACCATGGGACAACTTTATCACCCTCCTCGTTCTCCTCGTGGAGACCGTCATCTCTTTCTTCAAACGACTTTGCGCGAAGCCTGATTACATGCCTAGAGTTTACACGCCTGGGAGACCTGTTTATTGGAAGGCCTATAAGAGGGATCCAGAAGACATTGTCACGAATAGGTGGAAGAAGAGCTTGGAGGAGAGCGGTGTCAAGGAAGGTGAAGGAGAGAGGAATGTCGCCGAAGCGGAGGTTCGGGTAAAGTCGAAGAAGAGAGAGATAGAGACTGTATCAATCAGGTCGTTCGTACTCTCCAGGTGTCCAAGCTTACTGAAAGGTGAGTTTTTGTCGTTGGGTTATTGCGTGCTTTTTTGGTCGTTATCGAGCGCTAACGATTGCAAATCACTCCACGGCTGGTAGATTATGTCCCTACGTGGTGGCTTAGGGCGTAAGTTGTGTCCATTCTCTCCCCCCTCCACTCTCACTCTACTTTCTGGGGTGAAGATTTTCTTTGAAAAGGGGACTTATTTTACCTCTTCGCCCCGTCGCGCGTTCGTATTAAAACACACAGTGGGCATCTCAATACGATCTATTGCGTCGTGGGCGACTTTACCAAGAAAGATCTAGTCGAATACGAGCGGTATGTCGACCCCATCCATCACTAACTCAACGTCGCCTGTACTGACGGGGCTCCTCAATGATGATGATCATCCACCACCTGGGTTATCGCGTTATTCACTTGCCTCTTTCGCACTCGGATTCTTTTTTTTTTCTCACAGGACACTCTTACGGCTCCCAGATGGTGGAACAATGTACGTCATTTCCCCACTGGAACACCAAACCCCAATCTCACGTTGACTATTCTTGTTGACCGACCGGTAACAACTTTGTAACAAACTCGTAAACATCCAACGCGTCATCATTTCTCAATCGATATCGTAAACAGTGGTTTAGACTTTACACCGCCCTCGTACGAACGTCCACTTGACCCCAAGACGCCTATCGTCGTCGTTTTGCATGGTCTTTCTGGAGGTACGCGCTACTTTTGTATTCGATAACCACCACCTCTCTTTTCATCTCTTGGAACCATTTCCCCCATTCGTTCGTTCGTTCGCTTGTTGTTCACTTTTTTTTAGCCGACGACCTTCATGATCGTCAAAATGGCTTTTCATTTTTTTATTTTTTTAAATCTTCATACTTTTTTTTTTTAATGAATCCGAGAGATTGCCTTAACTGACGCCAACACACACTCCTCTCTTCTTTCCATTTTTGTCCCTTATCTTCTCTAATCGCTTTTCCATCGATTCGTCCTACGATATTCATTCCCGATAACGGCGGTCATGGATTCATTCACCCAACCTAACTAACCCCCCCTTCCCCTCGTTACATCGTTCATCTTCGACCAATGAAAAAAAAAAACACGCAAATGGAATCTTGGGGGACTTTTCTATCTAGGTTCATTCGAATCGTATGTGAGAGACATTCTCGCTGCCGCAACTACACCCAAGGAGAAAGGAGGATTAGGATATCGTGGAGTTGTGATGAATTTTAGAGGATGTGAGTTCTACTTCGCTTCTTTTTTCGTTCGGTTCGGGATTCGAACTTGCTCGCTAATCTACACATACCACAACTTGCACTTTCGAAAAAAAAAACAAAAACAAAAACAAAAAACGTCACAAGGCGCCGGCGTCCCTCTCACGACGGCCCAACTCTATGGAGGAGCCCATACAGAAGATATCCGATCCACTATCCTTTACCTTCGTCAAACGTATCCTGAAGCTCCATTGTTGGGCGTTGGGTTCTCGTTGGGCGCAAATGTATTGTCCATGTATGTTGAGGAAGAGGGCGCTAACTGTGCGTTGTCGAGTGTTTGCGTTTTGGGGAATGTAAGCGACCATTTCTACCCCGCACTATTCCACGAAAAACCAGAAAAAAACTCGATGTCTCATTTCTTTTCATTTTCTTCTCCATTTCCAGCCATGGAACTTGAACCTCAACAGTGACCGTCTCGAAAAGCGATTCCTCTACCGTAACATCTACGCCAAAGCAATGGGCGGAAACCTCCTCTTCCTACTCCAAGGTCACCTCGAAACTCTCGCCAAGCTGGCACCCACAAAAGCCACTCCCCACATTCAACATCTCCTCACCATGCGTGCACCGACTCTAAAAGATTTCGATCATCACGTCACGCGATTCATAGGGGGGACACCACCCAAGTACCCGTTCGCATCAGCCGATCACTATTATGCTGGGTCCACGACTCATAAGAGGACACACGAGATCATGGTCCCCTTCTTGGCGTTCAATACGGAGGACGATCCCATCGTCGCTGAAAACCCTATAGAGGAGATCGAACGCGATGGGAAATTCGTCTGTCAGGTGGTCACGCCTTATGGAGGACATTTGGGATGGTTCGAAGGTGGGAAGGGGATTGCGAGTGGATTGGGGTTGGCTAAAGGTGGGCCACCTCCTAGATGGGTTAGGAAACCTGTTCTGGAATGGTTGGAAGCTACCGGTGAGGATGTAGCGGATCTTTCGGGTGGTGGTGGTGTTGGTGTTGGCGAAGGGGCGGAAGGGAGGGGGTTGA